TTTATGGTGTAGGGCCTCTGGGAAGACCCTAGGTCCTAAAGAACCCCCAAATGGCCTTCTACCTGTGGATTGCAGATGAAAAAGGGAGCAACAAAATGCTCCCTGCAGTGCACTTCTGGGCTCGGGTCCTCGAAGGCGCAAAAATGCCTTGACCTTTACCACCCCGAAAGGTCCATGTGCCCATATACTACGGTTTAGGGTTTAGGGTTTAGTCTAGGGTATAGTAGAGTAGCTACCCGTCAAATTCAACGTTTAGAGTTCCTCTGGGATACTGGACATCTAGGACTCGGTGTAGGGTTTAGGATTTTATAACCTAAATCTATATTTACATCTGCATCGCCAGTCCTATGAATATTTCGATCTGTATTTACATCTCTCTTTCTATATTACTATGTAAGTACACCGGTATCTACATGGGTACATGGACCCTGAGGTTACGCGTTAAATTTGAACAAGCGTGGATGCGCGGATGTTGACTGCATTGCATGCACAGTGGGCCCGGTCACTCGACGGTGACAGTTGATAGCTGGAAGGGAGCTTAGGATTGCCACTGGCTTCTCCACTCGAGACGCACACTCTTGGAGGGTTGAGGGTTTTATGGTTTTAGAAAGGGGTCAGGGTTGGTTTGGGGGTTTAGAGTTTTGATATAACAACTTCGGGTTTAGCTTACTTATGGTTTGCTCTACGTAATGACCTACCTTTCTGGCATGATACCGACCCTATGTGCCCTGTGTATCTTATGTGTGTGTATATACTAGGATGCCCAGTAGTACCCTTATTCCCTTTATGTAGTCCTATACCCAATACCAAAAAGAGAGGCCTTTTTTTCTTAGGTTACTGGGTATCCTAGTATATATATATATATATATATACATATTTATATTTATTATTCATATTTGTCGTATCCTAGACCCGGAACAACTACCAAGCTCCTAAACCCTAAGCCATATCATCCATAAGCCCTACAAGCTATAGACCCGAGTGCATGAACCAAGAACCCCGTAAGCTTTAAACGCCGAACCCTAAACTGCCCTAAACCCCTAAACCCCCAAATCCCTACCCTAAGTCTCAAAATGGCCCAAAAGCCGTATATAATATTGTCGCCGAGCCCAAGAACCATAAAATCTGAGTCCTTAGGGCCTTGGGGCTAGGTTCAGAGCTTAGGGAGCCTGCCGTGGCACTCCGACTCTCCACCACGAGCTTGGCCGGCCTGTGAAACCAGAGCTGGCAGATCCCCATCCCGATGTTTAGGACGCTGCGTTAGGGCTTTGGGTTTGTAGGGTTTACGGACAGGTTTAAGGGTTGAGGTTTTGTGGTTTGGCTTTAGATACCCATCCCGTGTTTAGGACACTCTTTGAGGGCTGAGGATTTTGTTTATAGGTGTTTAGGGTTGATAGGGTTCAGGGGTTTATGGCTTAAGATTGACGGTTTTAATTACGGGTTCAGGGTTTTGGGTCGCAGGGATGGTGTCCCTTGCTAGGATTTAAAAGTTGGGGATCATCTTCAAGGTGCGGTGGAGGGCTTAGAACACAGAGTTTGGGGGGTGCAAGGGCTTCGGCCGTCGGATTTTCAGATTAGCCGGGATATCTCTTGGTTGGGTGTTGCGATGGGCTTGGGTTCATACGGTCAGGGTTTTGGGGTTCAAGGGCTGCATGTCATGATGTTGTTAGACTAAACCCTAAACCCCTAAACCCTAAACCCTAAACTGAATCTAGAAACGTTTTGCATTGCATTCGGTAAGGGGCATAGGCTCCGAGGGCCGAATGCTTTCTGTCATAGCTAGGACCCAGAATAGGCCCTTATTCCCTTTTTTAGGGTTTGGGTTCCCTTATAAACCCCTTTTATACCAAAAAGGGCACCCTTTTATTCCTGGGCTTCTCTTAGGTCTAGATAGCCTGCAGGAATTACTGTCTGAGGGTCTTAGTAGGGAATCGGGGAATGGATTATGGGGCAGATACTTGGAAGGGCAGGGGACTTAGTAAGTAGGTTATAAGTAGAGTTATATGTGCCCTAAATAGAGTTACCCCAATTATAACCCTACTTATAACCTACTTACTAAGTCCCCTGCCCTTCCCAGTAAGGTTCAGGAGGGGGAGTCTTAGAGGCGCAGGCATGTCTGGCAGCACCGCGGATGTTGAAAGCATCAATAAGGAAGGTTTCGAGAGATTGAAAACCCTTGACCCTGCATCCTTGTTATTGTTGGAGTTGAAGCTTCGGGGAGTTCAGCGACGACGCTTCAGTGTTTCGGGGAGGGAAGCTACGGCGCGAGGATTTTGGATATTCTGGCAGCTGAGCACTAGGGCATTCTGGGCAAAGAGACCATGTGGGGGTCTCCGTGAAAGTACTCGCAGTCGCTGCTGACAAGGCAGAACCCAATCCGTGTTGTACCGACCGCTGTTCTCGGCGAGCAGGTTAAGTTTAGGACCCAAACAGGCCCCCGATGATAAACTTGTGGCTGGGAAAAGTAGGGGCTATGGAGTCATCGGATGCCACAACCTTATGGTATTTTGTGAGTCCTCGTTGTGGGCCCCTTTAAGATTTTATGTCTTACCGAGTCTGCTCGCACGGCGAGGCACAAAATCGGTCGATCTCGACCACCATTGAACCCTTTTTGCCTCTCCCATGCTGTTCGTGATAGGCGTTTCATGGGAGAGTACTAGCGTTCCATGGTACTTTAAAGCCAGATAGTCTGTTGCTGCTTTGTTCAAGCACTTGTTGCCTGCTGATTTGCTTCGCTGGCCTTCAGACCTCAACCCTGATTCCCAAAGCGCTCAGCGACAACTCTCACCCTAAGGCTCAAAATGGCCCAAAAGCCTTATATAATATTGTCTTTGGGCCCCCAAACCATAAAATATAAGTCCTTAGAGCCTTAGGGTCAAGCATGAACTCGAACTTGCCCTCGACCCTCAGTCGTGAGACCCGAACCAAAAGCCCATTTTGAACGCTCATGTAAACCATGTAAAAGTACCATGTGGGGGTTTCCGAAAATAGGCGACCCCTAAGATAGTACCCTAAATAGTAGGATCCTTATTATAAGGACCCCAAAATAAGGTACCCCTAATTTTCGGAAACTCCTATGTATAGAATCCGGACTCGAAGGGACAATGGCGAAAGGAAATGATCGTTTGTGTAGCTACCTTTCGTTTCCGTCTGGCTAAGTCTATCGCGAGCTTCACTCTGCACTCTTGGTTCTTCATTGGACCATAGGTGTTTTCAAGTTGCTTAAGACCCGAGAGCTTACAACAGGACGGCCTGCTATTCAAGAACCCAGCCCAAACCTCCATAGTACTCGTGTTTTACATCACGCAAGCCTAAACTCCAAATGTTCATGGCCATTCCGTGGCAATCTGGAGAATAATCTGGAGATTTGCATAGGTACAGGTTTACCTTGCCGAGACGTCTTCTGGGTCGGCACAAGAGCCTTGCTACCCGTGGCAGAAAAGGAGCAACAGGTCCATCCTAAACCCAAAACCCCACCCTACAGGTCCAAGTACTCCTTATTCTGGGACTTTGGGGCCTTTCCATAAGCAATAACTACTCCCTTAGGGCTAATCCTAAACAGATGAAGTTATATAATATGCCGATGACCCGAAATCCCAAGGCTTGAACGCTCAGCCCCTAAAGGACCTAAATTCCGCAAAACAAACCCCAAGTGCGCTGGGTTGATACGGACTCCTTTGTGGCTTCTTGTCTGGGCCATAGGCCATGCGAGATCGGTTAGGGCTAATTACCCGAACCGTACAAGAGTGTAAGACTTACCCTTGTAGGGTTCCTCATTAATTATGATGTCTTCTTGATCCTTCAAAAGGGTAGCTTAGTTTCAGTTAAGACGCGGTTCGGGAAGGCCTTTCGAGCATCAATGTTACGGTATAGGACGGGTTTTGCGCAGCTTAAAGTAGGCACAAAGGACTTTCTGTAACTATATATATATATATAGAAATGTGGGAGCCTGATTAAGAAATGCTAGGCCTATAACACCGAAATGGTAGGGTTCATATATAAGGAACCCTAATAAAGCCCAAGGTTTCTTAATCAGGTTCCTAGATTATATACTTTGGCCTGCAAGATCCAGCCGGTAGTCCCTATATAGGTACTTGAGGGCCAAAGCCTTTACTATACAGTATATGCCAGAAAGTTGGAATATCATTATCGTAACCCCTTTAAGGTAAATTATAGGGGATCCTACCATTAATCCATATTCCAACTTTCTGGAGTTCCCTTTAGGGGTAGGGAGATGATCTACTTCTCTTGAAGGGAGCCCTTTGATGGAGAACCTTACCCCCGTTTGCAGGCTTGAATCGGGAAGACAAGTACTCTGTTGGCTGTTGTGTTGTTTTCGTCGTTTAGGCTTTAGGCTTCAGGGGTTTAGCGGTTTAGGGTTCAGGGTTTAAGGATTTAGAATTGACTGCCTTTGATTCTCAATGGCCCTTGGCGTACATGTCTGTGGACCCAGATCTCGAATACAGCGCAGGGCACTTTCATTTCCAATAATACTTTCTTAGTTGTATAAGTGGAGCCTTCGTCAGGATGGGGAGTACTCCGTTTAGGGTTGAGGGTTGTTCAGGGTTTAGGTTTATTCAGGGCTTAGGGTTATTTAGGTTGTAGTACACTGCCTGTGCAGCCATAGCCGAATGCAAACTACTTTACCCCCCCCAAACATTCGACGATATTCTAAACCCTAAACCCTAAACCCTAGACCCTAAACCCTAAACCCTAATCCCTAAACCCTAAACCCTAAACCGCAGCTCCAACCCAGTCCTCCTAACCCCAGACGCCTTGAACAGCCGCGCGCCCTGTACAACGGTTTAGGGTTTAGGGTTTTAGGGTTTAGGGTTTAGGGTTTAGGGTCCCTGGTTCTTGCTAGGGACTGGGGGAATGGGTTTTTAAGGACTACCATAAGGGACCTTAAGAGACTATCATTGGGATCCATTCCCCCCATTCCCTACTAAGAACCCGGGAGCTAAGGCTTCTATCGTAAAACCCTGAGCCCCAAGCTGAAGGCTTCGGAGCTGGATGCCGTGGCACGGCGTGGAAGTCGAGGGTTGAGGGTTTTAGGGTTCAGGGGTTTAGGGGTTTAGGGTTCAGGGTTTAGGGGTTTAGAGTTTAGGGTTTAAGGTTCAGGGGTTTATAGGGGTTTAGGGTTTAGGGGCCTATAGGGGTTTAGGATGTGGCGTTCACGGCTTTAGATGCTATAGGATCATGGCTTAGAGGGCTGTGGTAGGTGTTCAATCCGCACAGGTTCAGGCCTGATCGCATAGCCGCCGGAGTTCGTACTACATGTCGGTTTTTGGGAAAACTAGTCTACTGTTAGGATCAGAAAATGGGAGGCAGGGTAGGCGAAAAGGGAGCTTTAACCCAGTGTCTGTCTAGGCTTGCAAGGATCCTATGTCAGAGATGAAGACCTGGCAGCCTTGTGAACTTCCAGCCCGGATCCTTATCCTAGAGACTCAGAAGGGCCCATACAACATGTGCCTCTATCAGCACTAGTACTTACAATCTTATTGTTATTATTGCTCGCATCATTAGTATTTCCATTGATCCCATGAATAGATATCGCCGCTTTTTTTGCAAGGCTTGACAGGAATCAATTGTCTGGTCGTGATATCATTACATGAACCCGCCGAGCAGGCAAACAAAAGATCGAGCGAGCAAAGTTTGTGCCGGAACGGAAGAGTCGCATGCGACTCTAAGCTCCCGCCTGTGCTGCGTGGCTCCCAAAAAATCTCGCAGCGATTGCCATCGTCATATCAGGCGGCCGCCTGTTATCCAGAATGTGGAGTATTGAGTCTACCCACAGTCGCTGGTGTGATTCCTTTTGGTTTACCCAACTGTGCCTTTAGGACCCAAACAGAAGCCCAAGCCCTGACCCCGACAAGGATCTACAATGCAGACTGTAGGCAAGGCCCCCCGAGCTCCAAGCCCTAGCCCCAAGCTCTGGCCCTACTTGGAAGGGCAGGGGACTTAGTAAGTAGGTTATAAGTAGGGTTATAATTGGGGTAACTCCATTTAGGGTACTTATAACTCTACTTATTACCCTACTTACTAAGTCCCCTGCCCTTCCAAGTAGTGTGTAAATCCTGTAAACCCCGCAAACCTACAAGCCCAAAGGTTTAGGGGGTGAGAGATTCTGGGTCTAGGCCTAGTAGTAGAGAAGGTAGCCTTTGGCACCAATCGGCTCAGGTTTCCTATCCACCGGCTGGCCTGGTGCCCTTAACTTTGGTCGAAGGCGGGCTGTTCGAGGGTTTCAGGTTCAGGGTTTAGTTTGGGGTTTAGGGTCTTCGGGGGTTTCATGAACAGCATGTAGGGGTATGCTCAAAATCGCTTGGAGAGTCCTTGATGTCCGAAGGAACCGTCGCCGTGGAAAGCGATTGAAGAGAGACGGTTGGTGGTATTGGGTCTTGGGTTTAAGGTTTACAGGGTTTTGGGTTTCGGTGCCTGTCTGCACCGGAAACTGCATCACACGGATATAGCTGTTGTTGCAGGCACCGTCCACGCCGGCCATGTAAACAAACACGTTTAAAGTTATTGCTCGGAGCTTCAGCGAACATACAATGCATACACAAAGTGTGTGTGTGTGTGTGTGTGTGTGTGTGTGTGTGTGTGTGTGTGTGTGTGTGTGTGTGTGTGTGCGTGTGCATCTTGTGTGAGTGGCACAACTTCAATGTGGGCACTTCCTGATTGTGGTTTGTCTATTTGCTTGAACTTGCTTTGGCAGATCTGATGCAGTCCGACTTAGCTTTATTAACCTTCGTAGCTGTATGCAGAAGGCGACTTGATACGACAGAAAAGAAGAGTGCTCTTATGCCCCTTATGCACTCGGAGGTAGCATCTACCCAAAAAACATTGTGCTAATTATTGAGGTCTCCATACCAAGCCCTTGCAGTAACCCTTCTGGAAGATAAGAAAAGGATCCCCTAAAGGAAGCCGATTTGGATTTGGAGGCTCCTGTCATCCACATTCACTCACCATAGAACTCGGAGTAGTCCCCAAGCCTCTTCCTCGCGGTTCCTGTTATGGTTATAGAATACAGCAAACCCCAAAAAGTTGGAAACCGGATTAAGACATGACTCTTAAGGCCTGAGGCTATTGGGTTTCCAACCTTGGGGCTTCTACTATAACATGCCGCAAACCCTGTTCTAAGAATTTAGGCCCCTACATGTCGGGAGGGGTTCGGAACTTCATTCGGGTGGTTGTCAAAATTAGGGTCCCTTTTTGGGCACCCTAAATAATACGTGCCTTATTATAATAAGGACCCAAAAAGGGATCATAATTTTGACAACCACCCAATGCATACTCTGAAGCAAGAGATCCCCGGAGGCCGATGTGGGAAGTGGCTGTCGGGAAAGGACTACTTAGGGGTTTAAGCGGGGGGGGGGAGGGTTCAGGGGTTTAGGCGGGTAGGGGGGGTTTAGGGATTCAGGGGTTTAGGGGTTCAGAGATTTTGGGGGGTTTAGCTGCTTAGGCTTTCGTGATTCTTCCGTCAGCTTGGTGCAGGTGTATCCGTGCCATGGACAGTGCCGCACTCGGCACCGGGACTTCAGGGCCTTTAGTCTTTCAGAGCTCGGGTCCTCAGAGCTCTAGGTTTTCTTAGCGGTAAAAAGAATCAGTCTTTGTAATCTTTGTTTATTATCGCAGCTAAAATTAAAAATTTTGGTAGGGGCCTAAGTTCAGTATAGTTTGACAGCGTGGTGTAATCGACGTTGGTGCCTGGATGCAGTGTGAGCCAAGCCCAGGTCATGCCAGATGCTACTCGTTTCCAACCTACGCCCGGTCCTTATTCTGCGGTTGGTGATATAAATCCTGCATTACCCATAATAAGGAGTATACCATAATTCCCATAGTTTAGGGTCCTTAAAGTAATGCAGGATTTATAATTTATATCATCAACAGTAGTGAAGGCTGTAGGGGTCTGAATGGGTGCTGAAAGTCTCATACTATCCTTTTTAGTCCCCATACGAGTTATAGTTTATCCTTGTCTCGTTCAGCACAAAGGAGCCTATGAAATATCGTCATGTTCTGTCGTCCCGACATAAGTAGTTTAACGGCTAGGCGGCCTATGAAATATCGTCTGTTTGAGGCTGCAGGGGGCTTCTGTTATGTCGAACCCCAGGAAGCCGTAACATAGGATAGGGATGATTGTTTGAAAAAGGGGTCAAGGGTTGTCTTATTACATCTGCTATGTGCAGGACTCGAAATTTCAGGGAAGCTTCCAATGACTGCCTACACCCGGGAGCTGACAGCCTCAAAGACTAGGTTCTTGTTACGATTGTTTTAAATTACCATAGTAAGGAAAGCTTATTAGGTACTATAGATCCCTATTATGGTAACATTTGATGAAGTTCCTGCAGAAGAAGCACATTCAATAACTCTGTCAGCAACCTGATCGTCCGGAGTGCGAGCGCCAACGACCCTGAATGCCTGAAGGCAGAATAGAAAGGACAGCCCTGAACCTCGAGCCCTAAATACCACAATAATGGGCTCTTACACCATAGCCGGAAGTTTACAAATTCAGCCTGAATTATTTCCTTTGCTTTTACTTTTTGGATTAATGGGTTATCCCCGTGTGTGTGTGTGTGTGTGCGTATGTGTATGCGTATTATGTACGTATGTATGTATGTATGTATGTAGATATGTACGTATGTATATACATGTGTATACACACATATATATATATATATATACATATACACATGTATACACACGTACCCAAAGCCGTATTCAGACAGTCGTTCTCCAAAGCCCCGTTCGAATGTCATATTCATCCCTAATTATAACCCGAAAGAAAGCCCTTTTCTGCGCCTATTCTTGTTATGAAAGACTCTATATCATAGCACCTACAGGTCCGACACCACGGTCTGCATCTGGCAAGTCCAGTTGCAGAGGTCGGCGGCATCATGATCACGGAGTAGGAGAGCAGGTGATTATCATTTAGCCTTTCTGGGTCTGACCCTTCTATATCATAATCTCAAGTGTGTTTGGTTCTCTTAGGATACTGGACATCTCAGGTCGATCGCTTTGCGATCGAGGCTTCATGGTGAACGTCTGGGTGCGATTACTGAAAACAGCGTTCTGGCGAAAGTATTTACAAGGATATCTAATTTCGCTACGGGAACCATGATGGCAGTTCAGCGGCAGTTCATAATAGTTCGTTATGCATAGGGTCGCACAAGGGAATGTATTGATAACATATTCAAACCTCTGTGTTGAGATCTCTTTCTTAAAGCTTGAAGTTTTGAGGGATAAGGAATTGAGGGTATAGTACGGGACATGGTTTTTGCCTAGGATCTGGTCGGTGACCCGCAGAGGTGGTACATGTAATGTGAGGAAGCCTACCGAGACCAGAAAACGACCGACACATCCAAATGTCGTGCCCATCAGTTTTCTTGCTTCGGACGTGGTTTATGGTTCAGCTCTCATGTGGCTTTACTTGGCCTCTTCTGGGGTCTGTCGAGGGCTGGCGACTCTTTTCCCACCAACCGGGAATTTGCAATCAGGCTAATTACATCGGTGGATATCGCTGGTTTGGTTCTCAAACCAAGCAGCTCGAGAAGCTAATACCCAGCATTTCCATGGCCTTTGTGGTTTCGGGTCGCTAGCGTTGGGGTTACATTGCGGTATCTTATCTTATACTAACGTGCATTTTCTCAGCGACCCGAATGATGTCCTGAGGATCTGCTCAGAAGAACTCCAATGCAGAGACAATGCACTCCCCCAAGAGTTTCTGCGGCCGCCATGCATTTTCACTCATCGCTTCAGAGAACCTAGGTTTGCGGCCCAGGGTTAAGATGACCAGAGACAGAATCCAAATGGAAACTGACGCAGCAAAGCTGAAAACTGTGCACCCCCCAACTCAGAATGTTTGGCAGAGTAGGGTTGCAAGTTTCTTCGCATAGCATGCAGGGAAGACGACGTACTGGTGTCAGCGGTGCGCCGCAGACAGGTTGGCAGCAGGGCTTACTGCTGGTAGTGAGGGTGGAAAGGAAAGGCAGAATGTGGTGAACTTGACTTCCTCGTCGTGCAGGTTTAGGGTTTAGGATTTAGGGTTTAGGGTTCAGGGTTCAGGGTTTAGCGGTTTAGGGTTTAGGGCTTTAGGGCTTTAGGGTTTAGGGTTGAAGGAACCCTTATTAGTCATTCTGCGTCAGAGATCCCCGCTGTCCTGGAAGTCGCCTTCCATGACACAGAAAACCTCACGTTAGGACTGTTCTGCGATACAGCTTAACCCCTGCAGTATACCAGAATATACTATATCATGCTAGAATCTTCTAGACTGACTATTCTGTAGTATGCTATCGTGAACGATGATAAACTTTCAGTTTTCCAACCTGGCCAGGGGCATGACGGTGAACCTGCGACCCTGACGTGTCCTCGAGGCTTCAGATATTTGGGTGGTTGTCAAAATGAGCATCCCTTTTGGGGTACCTAAATATCAGGTGCCGTTTTATAGTAGGGATCCGAGAAGGGACCGTAATTTCGACAACCGCCCATATATGAATCCTCCAGTCTATGGACTGACAGTAGGCCGTAACTTAGCAGCTGAGTAGGTATATCCCTTATAACCTCGTGGAGTTTATATAATCCTACCATAATTTAGAAGATTAACAATATTTGGGCTAGGGTACTCATCCAGTAAGTACAGCACCCCTTCAAGGCCTAGGCCCAGGCTTAAGTATATAGTAGATAGGTGCATGCAGCCCCTTTGGGTTGGGTTTTTTGCCGGACCACACCTACTTTTCTTTCAACGATGCAATCTTCCAGTTTCCACCCTAACTGCAACCCTAAGCTCTAGACCCCTATACAGTAGAAGCCAGAAAGTTGGAATATGATTATCCTAACCCTTCTATGGTAAAGTATAGGGTATCCTACCATGAAACCATATTCCAACTTTCTGGCTTCTAGTGTAATACATACCCCTAAATTTTCAGAGGCTTGTCAGAGCCAGAGCCCTTCAAAGCCGCAAGGTTCGAGTGCTCCGAGTGGTCGTGGATTGCAGCAACCATGGAGAGCGATGCGCTGAGATCATTTGCGAGATTGCTAATATATTAATATATATATATATATATATATAGCATTCAGGTTTTCGGGTGTTGTTTTTCGGATTCGTGCGTAGATAGTTTGAGGGTTGATTTGGGGTTTAGGTTTCAATATTTGTGTTTTACAAGGGCTGGCCAATTCTGTACGACATCACGTGTTATTGTCGTGAACCTCTGTCAGCATTCCGGCACGTACTTTCATGTGGTCACTTCACGGCTTTCAGAAGCTTGGAGAATGGGGCTCGTATGTTTAATGGCTATGCGCTCTTTCTGCCGACAAAGAACGATGCAGACCGCCACAAGTCGGTACATGTGGGACATACATGTGTCGAGCCGCCAGAAGTAACCCACCCGCCCACCCACACCCAGACTCAGACCCACACCCAGACACACACACACACACACACACACACACACACACAGACACACAGACACACAAACACGCACCCGCACACACACGCACACGCGCACGCACACGCTCACGCACACGCGCACAGACATGGACACGGACACGGACACGGAGACACACACCCACACGCACACACACACACAGACAGACACAGACACACACACCCGCACACATACACTCTCTCTCTCTCTCTCTCTCTCTCTCTCTCTCTCTCTCTCTCTCTCTCTCTCTCTCACACACACAGACACACCCGCGCGCGCACAACACCCACACAAAAACACACACACACACACTCATACACACGCACACGCACATACACACACACACACAGAGACAGACAGAGACATGGTAGCTGCCAGAACGGCTCGGAGTTTCAAGCTTAAGGCTGGGGGACAAAGAGATTGAACCTGCAGGCAAAGCCTTAACTATGATAAGACAGTCGATAGTATTATATCATATATGGTGTACACATAGAACATAAAGATAAACAAGGAACCTTGTAGTTTGATTTTTGCAGAATTACTGCGACATCACACTATCGTGGTCAGAGCCCTGAGAACCTCCCTGCCAACGAGCATACTCTGATCGATGCGATATGGTCTCTTTGAGCGCTGTGAAGTCTAAAGAGGTATTTCTGATGTTATGGCTCGTCACGAAGAACCCTCGTCGTTTCCTCTCGCATCATCCATGTAGTGGAAGGCCAGCAGGAGCAGAGAAGAAGGTTGTAGTACAGGGGTCAGAAAAATAACAATGTGTTTCCTTAGGCCTTCTTGTCAGTGCTATGGTTGAACATGCCGGAAAGCCTATTGAAGTAGTTCATGCCCCATACTTGTACTTCGAGGGATCGGCCTCTTGCGAGTATATTCATGATTAGTGCGCACGATGCCTCTATTCCAAGACTCTTCGTAGCATTCGTGTCTCCACAGGTTTTGCTAACTGTTAGTGGTTTCTGAACTGGAGAGTTCAACGCCGAGGTCGTTCTGCGTGATTTTCTGGCCGCGGGCTCAGAGCGTCCAGGCTCCGCGCACTCAGTTCCCTAAACCCTCAACATAGATAAACTAGGGGGCCTTAATATTCATATGGGGTGTGGGGCACATTATGTTACAGTCTGTATATTGTCAAGGAGAATATACAAGAGGACAAGAGAAGCATTTCTTCAGACCCCGACATGAGCTGCCCCATGCTTTACACTACTTGGAGATTCGAGTTGCCGAAGTCGGAAGTGCCTGGCTATCTTCCGTGCCGCAGCGAATGCAACATTACTTCGAGCGAAGAGCAGATACAGCCTGTAGAAGTAATATGGTTTTTGTCATAGAAGAAGACAAATGTCAGGATTGGCAACAGCAAGACACACGCATCAACTGAGCCTGCAGCCACACCATTTCCCGAAACCTTGAACCCTAAGCAAACTCCTAGCTCCATCAAGTCTCAATCCCGCGAAACATTCGGAAGGCCTGACATCAAAGCTGAGCCTGGCTTGCAGCTGGAGGCAGCCGTGCGTGTTCTTCGGGTCCTGGTTGGGATTTGGGATCTTCGATCTCTGCTTGGGAGACTTACAGGTAGGGTTCAGCGTTCAGGTGTTGCGGCTTTGGGTCTGGGATCCAATGTTCAGGGTTTAGAGTGAGAATATAGGCTTTAAGGTTTCGGGCCCTCTTCATAGATTTCTGGATTTACACTGTAGCAAAATGAAGCAAAGAATCAGACGCAGCGGACGAAGCGGTCAGACTTACTTTTACCAGTCCAGGAGCCCATGCATGTGCGCGCCAAAGGCGCTTAAGCGCCGGCCTAAACCCCAGGACTGCCAGCCGAGAATGCAAGCACTTCGATGCCTCATGCTCATCACTGGAAGGATTCATTCAGAGGCCTGAGGAAGCATCTCAAAGCTTGGCCTGGACATACAATTACGATTGATCAGGGCTGGAAATATTGAAAGACATATCTGAGCGGCCATGCTTTATGCTGGAGCGGCCACCTTCTTGCGGTCTATACTTCGCATCCGAATCAGACAGCTGGAAGGAATATGGATTGGAGATAAATATGTCGAAAGGAATGGAGACGATAAGAGGATAAAGGATATAGGGAAGAGAAAAAATTCAATATCGTAGAATCGGAGCGAGTATATCGGAGATAAGAAAGATGGTGCCCGGCGGGCTTCTGTGCAGAAATCCTGTGCTGTGCCTGAAGCCGCTTCTTCTGAGCAGTACTTCCCGGAGCCTTCCTGTCTAAAACCCTGAAACTGAGTAAAGTACGCCGAAGCATCTAAACGAAGGTGCAACTGCCTCGAAAAGGACAGACTTTGCCCCGGAAAGGCTTCAAGCCCTCGCATCCTCTGTAGCTACGGAATAGATAACCAGAATCGCCGAACCCAAACAGCAGATAGGGGGGGCCCTAAACCCTAAAGTGACATGGAAGGGCATACAGAAAAGGAAGGGCTTACATTCTGGTTATCATTCGTGGTGCGGGTACTGTGCGCCAGCCGATGAAGGACGCAAGTAAAGAACAAGCCACTGCAGTGGCCTTGGGGGCCAGAATCGGGACTCCGGTCACCGCCTCTAGATACTCGGACCAGTCCCTGTGACTGATATGCAGGGTGAACCATGCTTGGAGCACGTCAACAGCTCTTTGAACGGAGCTCGGGAGGAGGCTGGGGGGGCTAGAACAACACATACCCCAAAAGAAACCCGTACAAAACACAACAACTATGAAGAAGCAACCCGAGCCACCGTTCACTCAGAACTGCATGTTGGCAGCCAAATCGGCTACCATCTTGGCTTTAGCGGCTATCCGTGCCGGGGGAGCCTTCTCTCCTTTTCCATATCGATTGATGACCGCGTCGAGCTGTTTACCGGACCCTTTGAGTGTGCCTAACTTAGAGGACAGATCATCAATCGACAGCGGGGAGGAGCCTAGGTCGACCTTGTGTTGCAGCTCAGCCTGGAGTACACGCAGGGCCGCCGGAGAAACAAGGGTCTGTTGCCCCGCTCCGGGGTTTGGTGACATGCCTGGGGCGTGCTGCCACAGCGCTTGGCCCGGCATAGGAACTTGAGCCTGCGCTTGTCCTTGAGCGCCGGGCAGTGGAGGAACTCCCTGCATCTGCCCAACAGCTGCCAGGTTTGCAGCGTGGCGATGCATTTCGCGTTCTTCCAAGACCGCAGCAATGGCCTGCGCTTGGAGCCTGCGCTCCTGCTGGCAGGCAGCCTCTTGCTTTTGGCGCTTGTATTCCACATAGCCAGGGGATGGTTTCTCAGCTTTGGATGTACGCCTGCCTGCCGAACTGGAGCGCGACTTGGAGCCTTTGCGACGGCGCCTGTCCTTGGACTTCGGGCGCGAGTCCCCTCGACGAGGCAGGTACGCATACTCTTTGTTCCTGCCGTGCGGATAGTGCCCATGCTTATCATCACTGTGATGGTACCCTGGCCGGCCACCGCGGTTGGAGCCTCGGCCCGCTTCTACCAGACCGAATCCACACAGCAGGAGCAAGAGCATGAGACCGAGGTGCTTGTGACTTGACACCATGGCTAGTAGCACGCTCAGTGCTTGGGACCCAGGTCTACTTCACTAGAGCCAAAACTCCGCAAAACAACAACATAAATGATAAAAGGGAGTACTGACCCTCGTCACCTAAAATTTAGGTGACCAGCTTATAGGCATGTACTGCTAGTTTAGGGTCCCAAGATCTGTAGCAGCGCTAAGTTGTAAAGATTTGCCACCGTCTCTCGGGCTTGTCTAGCCGTCTAGTAGCCAGACGCAGCACGTGGAAAACAGGGTTTCCTAGTGGGAGCGTGTGGGCTAAAGCCCTCAGCAGAGGAGCCGGATATCCCTCTAGGACGAGTTCTTGCAATTCTTCCAACATGACTGCCCGCTGCATCTTAGGAGACAGCCCCATTTGTCGAAGCCTCGTTGCTCTGCCAATGAGCATGCCCCGGATCAGGCCAAAGGGGCACTGCAGTCTATCCAGATAGGGAATGTAACGCTCTTTCTTTTTTGCAGCTTTGCCCAAGATCCAATCCCGGTTTGGGTTTTTGGGCGCCCATGCAATTCTACCGGAGACTGGATCTACACGGAATACCAGGTCCGTCCATGTTTGCTCTAGAGCTTCGGGCGAGATCTCGAAAGTGACGGAGTATATGGAGGCCAGAAGTTTCGCCATGCAAGCGTGGCACATGCTTTGCGAGACCATGAGAAGATCGTCCACGTAGCGCATGGCAAAAAAAGCGTGAATCATATCCCAACCATTTGGAAGGTACAGCCTCCGAAACTCCTGGCTCTCTTTCGCTACTTGCTCCTCCTGACAAAGGAGACCAACTGCCGCAATCATGGAGAGCAGACCGCCTATCATGACTCCAGTCGCTCTAACAACCAGGTTTCCCAGTGTGGCAAAGCGGAGAGCGCAGCTGGCCCACAGCATTTTCCGCAGTTGTGCTGTTGTAAACACCACAAACTTGCCAGATCTGGTCGCAGACTGGCCACCGGTCCATCCGAGCAGTTTGCGCTGTCTTTTGACAGTCACTGTCGTCAGACCCTTGCGCAGGCGAAGCCGCTCGGCAGCGCGGTCAAAGGCGAGCAGCACCTTTGTCGTATCAATTTGCTCGTACATCTGTGCAGCATCGGCCACGAGTAGCGTACTTGGGTACTTGGCCGCACCACATTTATCGCATCTGCAGGGATTTGTAGAAGATCGCAACTGATCGAAGGCTTCACAGAATTGCGGAACTGCCGTCTGGAGGTTCCATACAGCAAAACCCGGAAAAGTTGCCTGCACGATGATCTGAATTGCTCTGCCTGCAAGTCTCCAAGCTTTGCGCCACGGCGCATGGTAGAAGCTCACCACCTTCCTCAGACAGGAATGCCCTTGTTTGGCACAGGTCCTACCGCCTGAGGGGGCAAAACACTTACTCTTAACTAAAGGGTACATGTAAGGCGCCATGTATTTAGCCGTCACCGCACCCTTTCGGAGAAAACTCGGCAAAGCAAAAATACTCATCCCATACACCAGTGCACTGAGCTGGTCCGGGGTCATGTCTGTAGGATGCCATCTTGTGCCATCTCTTAGCACCAGCAAAACCAACAAAGCAGACATGACAATGAAGGGCATGCCCCAGGTGCGTTTCCGATCCTTGTCATCCTGCAGCAAGATCTCGTGGTCGTCGGCCTGCATCTGTTGAATGTATGACTGCTCTCCCACTGGGGCGCGCCCCTTCGGCTCCAGGGAGCGCTCTTGGCAAGCTTGCCTGAGGGTCTTGAGACCGTCCAGGCGAGCTGGTCTCGGGACGTGCTTTCTGTGGCACCAGTTCAACAACTCTGCGTGTAGTGCTTGTAGCTGTCCACTTCCGGCTTGTTTGTCTTGCAACCCCCAGTTTCCGTGCAACAGTTTCACTTCTTCGGCTCGTTGAAGCCCTTCCAACATGAAAGGGTTTGTGGTACAGACCTGCATGATATCAATTGATTTGGCCGCCGCGACTATGTTCCTCCTGTCAGTATATCTCTTGGCAGCAACTCCAACGAATCTGACTTTGCTAAGGACCCACGGCAAGAGTACCTCGCCGTGCTTGTTTGCCAGACTTTTTGCCGCTTGTCGAACAATCCGTTTGGCGATGTTCAGCGAGCGCTCGTCTGGAACTTTGAAGCACGTCATTTGCCGACCGGGCAGCCGAAAACGGTGCAACAGTCTGTCCACGTGTTGGTAGCCTCTGGATCGCCGCACGTAGCCTTGCACTTGAGCCACTAAGCATGCCAGACGAACACATGCTTGCGCTGCGGAACGGCCTCGTAGGAGAGGCGAAAGCAGCACGGAGGCTCCTTTAGTGCAAACCCACGTCGCCAGAAGGCCACCGGATCTCCAGCTGTATGGCGACAGGGGGCCTTTCTGTCCACTGATCACGAACCATTGCTGTTGAGCTCGTCTGTACACCTCTGCAAAGCTGAGTTGGGTCCAAGCAGGGGCTTGGCGGAGCTGAGGGTATGCCTGCACTCGGCGCCGTTCCTCCAGAATACATCGCTGGCTAATCATTGAAGACCAAAACGTTTGTACCGGAGGCCGCCTAAATCTGGGCAAAGGTCTTCTCCTCCGCGTCTGTTTGGCAGGTTTGGGCTTCGTTCTGCATTGGCCTTGATTTCCATTTGGCCGGAAGGCCCGAATAGCCATTGTCTCAGTTGCTTTGATGTAGTCGTGTTCTCCGACTTTAGCCACCAGGAAGCATAGGTGTTCAAGACGGCCTCGCCTGAATCGTTTAGCCCTCGTGGACTGATATGCTGGCGAAGAAACACGAAGGATGCCGGATAGGTGTTCCATGATTCGGGCCTTGACTCCTAGTGCAGCATGAGCTCTCTCAAGCAGTGCCTTGCCAACGTAGGTCGTATCCTCAGAAAACATGACATACAAAGCTGCTTGATCATGCCCATGGCAGTTCTCCAAACTGCTTTTGACATATTTGAGCCCCGCTGCGATGGCCGCCGGATGATGCTCTGCCAGTAGCATCAGGCTGATCATGGGCGCGCAGAGCCTTATGATTTTCTGCGCCCACCGAGTGGTTCGGCGGCTCCTCAGCTGGACGATCCCTTGGATGGTCAGCAGCGTTGCTAGCAGCAGTTCAAGATCAGTATCTTTGCGGTGCGTCTTGATGTCCTCCGGAAATAAACATCCCAACAGGACCAGTATCATAGTCCGAAGCCCTGCGATAGCACGTGAGTGCATCTCAGGGGAAGAACACCACATCTCGGCCAGAAGCCACATGCTCTCTTTCAGCGCCCGCATCTGCTCACAGTCATCAGATGGGCTTCTGATGTGCGCAGTCCCAGGAAGGGAGTGCCAAAGTCCCAGCAGGGCTTTTGCACAGGTTTGCTTGCACTCTCGACGCATATGTAGCTGTATATGGAAAGAATTTGTCAGAAGCGACTCTTCTCGCGGTTCAGTTTTTGTTGGCTGTTTCGCCCCAGGCCGTCGGTGTTGCCGCCGTCAAGTAAAAGACAATGGCTTCACCCGGTCTCTTGAGCGTGTAATGACACTGTAGCAAAATGAAGCAAAGAATCAGACGCAGCGGACGAAGCGGTCAGACTTACTTTTACCAGTCCAGGAGCCCATGCATGTGCGCGCCAAAGGCGCTTAAGCGCCGGCCTAAACCCCAGGACTGCCAGCCGAGAATGCAAGCACTTCGATGCCTCATGCTCATCACTGGAAGGATTCATTCAGAGGCCTGAGGAAGCATCTCAAAGCTTGGCCTGGACATACAATTACGATTGATCAGGGCTGGAAATATTGAAAGACATATCTGAGCGGCCATGCTTTATGCTGGAGCGGCCACCTTCTTGCGGTCTATACTTCGCATCCGAATCAGACAGCTGGAAGGAATATGGATTGGAGATAAATATGTCGAAAGGAATGGAGACGATAAGAGGATAAAGGATATAGGGAAGAGAAAAAATTCAATATCGTAGAATCGGAGCGAGTATATCGGAGATAAGAAAGATGGTGCCCGGCGGGCTTCTGTGCAGAAATCCTGTGCTGTGCCTGAAGCCGCTTCTTCTGAGCAGTACTTCCCGGAGCCTTCCTGTCTAAAACCCTGAAACTGAGTAAAGTACGCCGAAGCATCTAAACGAAGGTGCAACTGCCTCGAAAAGGACAGACTTTGCCCCGGAAAGGCTTCAAGCCCTCGCATCCTCTGTAGCTACGGAATAGATAACCAGAATCGCCGAACCCAAACAGCAGATACTGGATTTACAGTTTAAGCTTGCCAGAACCCTCGCCAAAACGACTGTGGAACACGTCGTCGGCACGAGAATTTGTTGGAAGCCTTGCTGAATCTTGCTGACAACCACGCCATAATGCACAAGGGTGATGACTATTTATCCGGATGATTTGCTTATGACTCTATCTACCTACTTTTCTGTCTGTCCATCTGTCTATGGGTCCACGTGTCCATCTAGCCAATTGGATCCATCCGGAACCGGTGCGAGAGAGAGAGGGAGAGCCAGAGAAGAGAGATGGGCCTGGAGACCCTCAACCCTAAACCCCCTCAACCCTTTACTCTAAAAACCCTAAACCCTTTACTCTAAAACCCCCTAAACCCTAAACCCTAAACCTTAAACCCTAAGCCCTAAACCCTCAACCCTTTACTCTAAAACCCCTAAACCCTGAACACGGAACCCTGAACCCTCAACCCAAGCCAAAGAATGCATTCTCGCTCGTTGCAGGTGGTCGTCTCAGGCGGCTGCAACGGGAAGGGGGAACTCGGCAGATGTGGCTTTGTGAGGTGTAAAGGGTAATGAGATCTAGGGAGTCAACCCCAAACCCAAATTTCCTTAAGCAAACTGAGCCCTAACTTCGAAACCCGGAGCCCTAAACTCTAGAAACCCTAAACCCTGAATCCCAAACCCTGAAGCCCCAAAAGCCTAAAGCCTTCAGCTCTAAACACCTTCGAAGGTCTCTGTGGAGCGAAGGAGCAGGTTCGCTCCCAGGGTTACGTGTTGCTGTGGTTTAGGGTTTACATAAGGTTTAGGGTTTGGGGTGGTTTCGGGATTAGAGTTTAGAGTTGGGGTTTGGGCTGTGTTTTAGGTCTTCACATGGACTAGAGATTCGATACTTAAAAACACTACTACAATATCTGGGTTGCTGGTTCATGGTCATGGTTTGTTTGTTTTATGATTTTGTGTTTGGCTGTGTACCGGCGAGGTGGCCGATAAGGCTCCGTTATGTATGTGTTGAGGGTTTAGGGTAGTTCACTTGGTCAGCTTCAAACAGTCTTTGACCGAAGTGAGTTGCAACGAATAAAGTAGTCCTGCTTGTTTTGTGCAGTCTTGCTTCAAACTTTGGCCGCCTGCTAAACATTCTATCCTATCCCGAGACCGAAGAGCCTTGTCGACCCTGTATCCGAAAGCCACAAGCCCCAGACCACTCAAATTGTGAGTTTAGTTACGCTGGCAGAACAACAGGCTGCAAACAAAACGAGACTCCCTTTCAGATGTTCGACTAGCCTGTTAATATCGTCGTACTCCATCATGCCACTCCCCTGAAATCCACAAGAACAGACTCTACTTGAACCATTGGGGCTACGAAGGCTGATGGCTGTTTTTGTGGCCACATCCAGCCTCCATGCGTATATCTTCAATGCAGGAGTTTGTTGCCGAGAAATCTTCTTTCTAGGTTCGCATGCAAACGAAATAAACCCTGGCATGTGCCCCCGCAGTGCGGAGCAGATCTTTGTGCCGACAGGTCACGAACTTCCACGAGTTCATATCGTTTCGAAGGCACCACTGGGGTTTCTTGATATAGTTATACTTGTAGTAATAATGTCCCTCACTGCCCTATTCTAACCCCATAAGGCCCAAGTAGTAGATCAACCGAGTGGGAGAGCAGGTGTTTGTGTCGTGTTTAGGGTTCCGGCTTGCGGGTTTGGGCCGTAGGTTTGATGGTGTAGCTCTGGGAATTACCCTACACCTTAAGCCTGTAGTAGCAAAGTACATTTGCAGACGGAAAAAGGGCCTTCAAAAAAAACAAACTGTGGTAGGGGCTAGTGTTTTTGGGGTTTCGGGTGTAGGGGTGGATTTGTAGGTGTAGGCTCCGGCCGAAACCTCCAGATCCAGTTTTGGGCAGAAGCTTAGGTCTTCGGTTTCATACGGCTCAGTTTAGGGGTTTAGGGTTGACAGTGATAGTGTTAGGGCTTGTAGGGTTAAACGGGTTTCGGGCTTATAGGTTTTCCGGTTTAGGTTTTTTTACGGTTGTAAGTGAACTCGTGATACCTGAGCAGCTCTAGAAAACTCCAGACACACTATAAGCTGTGTGACGCAACGCCTCTTTCCCTAAATAAACCTTCCCCAAGGCCTAAAACCCTAAACGGAGTTGACAAAAAAGACTGACCCCCCAAACCCGAAACCCCAAACCCTCAAAGCAAAAAACCTAAGCCCTAAGCCCCAAAACATCAAAGCCTGATCCTTCAAACCGTGTAGAAAGGCGCTTAAAAAATCTCAAAGTCTAAACCCCGAAAGCTTCTGCAAGAACGGCTCTGAAGGAAGGCGGCCGATGAAGCCTTAAGCCGAGAGGCAACTTGTTGCTCGTGGTGGTTTAGGGGTTTACAAGCAGGGTTCACGGTATGTGGTTTAGGGTTTGGGGTTCAGGGTTTAGGGTTGTGGGTTTCGGGTCTGGGGTTTGTAGGGTGGTTTAGGGGATTAAGGTTAAGGGTTTAGGGTTTAGGGTTTATAGTGTTTGAACCGGTTTCTTGATTGACGGCTCGTTGAGTGCTGAATCTTTGCATCCCTAGTCTTGGACAATGCTAGGCATCCTGTTTGCTTTATGTGGTGTTGCTTGACTACCTGAGCCCGAGCCTCACTGCGACAAATATCCACTTCATGCTTCTCCTTACTTATGCGGACGTGTTTATGGTCGTTAATTTCATGGTTGTAATGCCTCGATTCGTTCCGTTTGTGGTTGTTAGCAATAGTATGCGGTACGCATTTGATACGGTGCGGTGAGACCCACACCCGCTCTACTTCATGCCCCTCAAATCGCCCTTGAACCCCTGATACCGCGATGCGATGTCATGCAGTGTCGGTTTATGCGATGTAGCTTTCTGCGATGTGGATACCGATTCGATGTCGATATCAGTACTGTTGCAACGACCATTTTAAGTTGCCCCCATGCACGGCACGTGTGTTGTTGCCTAAACTAAACCCCTGAGCGGTTGCTTTTTCTGGTGCCCTTTGCAAAGTGCAAGCAGTCCAAGAGGCATGGCTGGGCTGGCAACAACTTATAGTTATAACTATAGTATACCCTTTGCGCAAAACCCTAAACCTTAAATCAGGGTAGCACGAAATCACAGAAGCCAATACTATCGTAGGGTCGTCCCTAGTATTTTATGGTAGTTTCTTGCAGTATAATTGCTCCCAAGGCCAATTTTATAGTGACTGAGGATCCTTTTTTGGGCCAGAAGCTGAACCCTCATCCCCCCCAAACCCCCGAAAGCCCTGAACAAGCTGAGCCGCAGGCAGCAAAGGTCCGAGAGATCTTTCTGCAAGCCGGGCCTTTGTGGAACAGGTCTGTATCCGAGGACCGGAGCTTTTGGGGCTCGAGGGGCTTTAGGACCCGCCCAAGGATCGCTTAAAGGGCTCAGGGCTTCATTAAGGGCTTCCTTTAAGGGGGAGGAGCTACAATGAAGGGTACTTGGGGGGGACTAGGGAGGCTTCGGGGGTTTTAGGATCTAGGGTCTGGGGTTTTTGAGGATTTGGGGCTTACAGGATTTGGGGGTTTAGGGCATTTCGGGTTCGGAGTTTGAGCTTTGGGAAGTTTCACTTGCGTTCTTTGGCTTGGGGCCTCTTTCGCCAGGGTTCCCAGCTGAAAGGCGATGTAAAGGGACTTTGTTGGAGCTGGATTGTGGTCTAGGGTTTTGTGGTTTAGGGTCTAGGGGTTCAGGGTTTGGGATTTTGGGGGGGTTTAGCATTTAGCGGTTTGCGAAAAACGGTCCAGGGCCGTCTATATAGGGTGTTGCCTTTGAGATAAGCCCTGCATCCCTGGCTTTCTCTTGTTTTTACCCAAGCTGGCACATGCCCTAGACAGAACCCATACCCTAAACCCGAAGAAGGTCCTTGCTTGAAGGCTTCTGGGGCAAAGTAAGCGCTCCCTTAAGCCATGATGTGATGTCTGACAGGTCTTCAGCTACATCTCTCTAAGCCCTACCTACTGTTTCCATTCCAGTTTCCTTGTTTGGGAAGCCTTATGGTAAGTCTAATATGGGTTAAACCAAAAAAAAAACTAAGGACGCTTTAGGTAAACCCTGAACTTCGATTCCAGGATTCGGTGGTACTCCAGGGACATGGGGCACTTAGATGTCTGATTGCTCGTATCCCCGCAGGAGGCCAAAGCATAGACATTATACATTATGCAGTAAACCCCGTAAAGTGTAAACTCACTACTATCCTTGTGGAGAAGTCTCCATCTGCAGTGCGGGTTCGGAGGTTCCTCCCCTGCATTTCAGCGAATAAGCATTATATACGACCCCCTAAACCATATCCCCGAGCCCCTAATTTAAACACTAAGCCACAAACACTGGCAGTGGACGTGACCCTGAAGCATGGGTTTCCTGAATTGTGAGAAGCTTCCCCGACAGTACTTGCACAACCTGAGTGAGATCCTCTTAACTCCCTGTAAGGACCTACACAAACAACGGTACCTGCCCGCCCATTTGGACAAATCCTTCGTAAATTCCACAGCAAAGGCGCACAATGCCCTGAATATCCAATAAGAACAAAGATACCCCTACCGTGAAGTCGTTGAAGTAGGTTTAGGGGTGCTGCACCGACAAGGCCAACGAGGTAGTATAGAAGTTCTGTTTCAGTTTTTCTCGCATCCATGGCTCACTGTAAATCGACTTCGCACCCGGGCTCCACGGCCACGGAGGTAGTAGTAAATATGGGACTTTCCGACAAATTGGTGGTACCTTGTTTTGGGGTCCTTATGGCCTTATGATAAGGATCCTACTATTTAGGGTGCTATATTAAGGTTCCCTGTTTTCCGAAACTCCCATATGTGTTCATATATTTAACAATCCGCATGTTTTGAAGCCGTCGCTGTACTGTAAAGCACCCGCGCGTCTGTCCCCCATGTATCCAGGAGGAATCCGACTCGAGGACTCGCCTCCAAAGGTTTGAGATTTTCTCGGGTTTTGGGAGCTTATGACCCGACGGGACAGGGTTCCTACTTAAAGGGCTCTATAGAAGGCTTCTATAGTAGATGGTTTAGGGACTGACCCTAAGGATCCATGGGCCCAAATAGTATATACTTTGGCCCCAAAGTACCTATATAGGGACGACGTTAAGGCCAAAGTAGACACTATTTGGGTGCATGGAGCCTTCGGGTGATTGAGGGACGAGTATGTGAAGGCTTCATGAACGGCACGAATCTGAGGGTATTATCAGTGCATCTGGATAGTTCCGGGCTTGTACAACGGCTGTGTCACATAATAAGGGTTTTGTCTGGAGGGGTTCTATATGGGTTCTGCAAGAGACTTACAAGGGTTCTACAAGCAGAATGTGCAGAATGCAATCGACCATAGCAGCATCCTGGTTGACCAAGCTCTCTCACTGTGCTGTGGCTTAGTTAATGTATGGTGCTTGCTACAAGAGGGCTGCACTATGTCCTGCGTCCGGAAGTCCATGAAGGTTCACCTTTCTAGTCAAAGCATGGAGCTTCGAGTCGTTTTAGGCTCAGGATGTTTGACCTAAATTGACCGAACTGTTATCTGCTTCGCCTAAAAAGTCTCGCACACGTCAGGATTGGATGATTTGCTGCTTACTTCATTACATGGTATGATATGACCCTAAACCCTAAACCCTAAACCCTATTGGAAGCCTCCCGGTTCCGACCGACTGTTGCCGTTCCCATTCGACGGTGAGGGCACAAGGAGTCAAGCCTAATGTTACAATGATTCCACTTCTGCAGGCTTTCGGGTTCAGGGCTTAGGGGTTCAGGGTTTAGGCTCCAGGACTCCATACCTGCCACACTAGGCCGAGCTGTAGCTCGTGTAGTTTCGGGATGCGTGGCGCGCAATGGAACTTTACCCTAAATCCTCTTCCCTTTCCCTAAACCCTAAACCTCAAACCCTAACCCTAAATCCTAAACCCTAACCCTAAACCCTTAACCCTAAACCCTATACTAAACCCTAGCCCTAAATCCTAAACCGTAACCCTAAACCCTATAAGCCCTAACTCGACTACCATCCGAGACCAAAGCCTGAAACCTAAATCGGAGTTTCAGAAAGAAGCAGGCTCGAAGAGCCTAAGTCTCCCCCCCAACCCTCAGGCTCCATGTAGGTATGCAAACGTATATGATTAGGGGTATATCTATGTATACATACATGTATACTTATATATATATATATATATATATGTATGTATGTATGTAGATATATATGTATATATATATATATATATACCCATGTATTCTAACAGTTTATTCTTGGGCCTTAAAGTGCCTATCTTGGAAACTTCTTAAGGCAGAAGTTCAAGATATACGCGCGCATGGATCCCTAGGGCAAGCGTCGATGTGTCAGGACGAGTGACCTGGTCCAGCCACTGGGCCACCGCGGGAAAGAGATCGTTACCAACAGGCTGCCTGGGCGCTCCTTTTAGGAAGAAGGCTATATATGGGAGTTTCCTAAAATTAGGGGCACCTTGTTTGGGGTCCTTGTAATATGGATCCTACCATTTAGGGAATTATATTGGGGTCCCCTATTTTCGGAAACCCCGATATATGCAGAGTTCTAATCCCGATAAACAGGGTGTGATCCGAAGCCTACTACACACTTCTAGCTGATTCTAGCCATAGGGTCCATAGTAGTTCCTTTTTGGGATTACCTTTTCGGATTCTGTATATGAACCCCAAAAAGGAACTACTTTGGGGCCTATGGGTAGCCACTTATATGCCGTATCCCTCAAGTAGTGGGGCTCTCGATTTGGAGGGTGCAGGGTTTTCAGGAGAAGGGCTCGCAGTTCGCCAATTTGGAAGCTACCTGGAGGATCATGGAGCATAGTAAGTTAGGTTCTACGTACCGTAGTTGTGGTTACAAGCCATTATGAGTATTGATACCTTTTTCATAACTCTGGTTAAGTCCCATGATCCTCCCAGTTTGGTTCCGATGAGAGATACCTCTAGATTTCCAAGCCAAATATGAATGCAATAACCGATGGAGATTGTTCAGAAATCGTCGAACGGCGAGGGTGACTACGTTACTGAAGAGCAGATTGACATTCGCAGTTTGGATACTTAAAAAACCACAAGAATGCGCTTACACAGCCAGAAAACGCACACCCACACACTCTAACTCAAGCACCCACTCCCACGCAACTCTAAGCTTAAACTCATCCCACCCTCAACTTTGATCTCTGAGCTCCAAGCCTAAAGTTCTAAGTTCTTTACAATAGAAGCCTGCAGCGCCACGCAGCCCCCTAAACCCTAAACACCTAAACCCCTAAGACCATTAACCCCCGAACCTGGCCCTAACCCTAAACGCCTAAACCCTATAGACCCCCTTTGCAGTAATGACCTGATCTTCACCCTGCGCTCCAATGCCGTGACGCTTTGGCCAGTGCTCTCCGCAAAGCGGCCGGGGATCCCAGGGCCTGGTGCTGAGGGCCTTTAAGGGAACCCTTAAAGGGACCCTGAAAGGAGCCCTCAAAGGAACCCTGAACTAAAGGAATCCTTTGGAACCCTGAACTAAAGGAATCCTTTGGCGGTTGGTTCATTTAAGTTTAAGGGATTCCAAGATTTGGGGGTGTGTTTTGATCGTCGTTTGGGCTTTCGTGGAATGTGGTCGGTCGAGCTTCCGTGTTCCGGGATCCGCCGAACTAGCCACAGCAACGGTCAAAGATGGAACAACATTGGCCTCATGCCGTCATGGTACAGTACAGGTCACGTTCCAGCCCGATGAGTGTACTTGCACCTTCCTTCTGAGTTGTTGTTTGTGCACAAAAGTGTAGTTGCACTTTTTGCGCATGGACCGTGAACCCGAGCAACCCTAAACCGATACCCAAACAGTCCTCAACCCCAAACCTCTAACGCCCTTGCCCCAAAGAGCCCCAAACCTCAAGAGGCCTAAACCCCTGAAGCCCCAACCCCAAGAGCCCCAAATCATTCACCTAAACCCTAAACCCTAAACCCCAAGAGCCCCAAATCCTTCGAACCAACCAGCCCTAGGGTTTAGGGCTTAGGGTTCTTCAAAGACCCCAAAGCGCTAAAATTCGAAAGGTTCGACGGGGACTACAGCCAGGATGGCACCTCAGAAGCTGGTCTTCGTGCGTTAAGGTGGACCCCAGTTATTTTGGGCCTTAACAACTGCAAGAATACAATAGTAGTAATATTAATGATAATGATAGCAGCAACAACAACAACAACAACAACAACAACAACAACAACAGTAATACGAGTAGTAAGTTATATCAACAATGCAAAGAATAAGTTGAATACATGGAGCCCTTCACACTACGCCGTCCATGAGCCCTCCGAAGCTTACTTCTGGAACCAAGGGTACGTACTCGCAATTCACTGCATTTCTTGCGGCCTTAGAGGGTTTTGGGCTCTTGTGTGGTATATAAGTATAATAAGGAGCCCTAAGAATAATGTTGGTAATTATTGAGGCTTCTACAGTATGACTCGAAGCCTTCTGCCAACCTCCCCTCCTTTCTAGAGGGAAGGCCCAGCACGCAGCCTTCGAATCTAATTCCGAAACACTGGTCACTCGTCTCGGAAGCCCTCTAAGCGTCATGCTCTGCAAAAAGCTCTACGCCCCCTTCCCAAATAACAACATAAAACAGAACCCACGCCAAAAAACCTCGGCAAACCCCATGCCCGCCGAAGATGCCAAAAAAGGTGCCGCGCGCCTGCCAAGTCATCCACCTCGCTGACCGGACTTCCTTGGCCGCCACCTCTGATCCCCTAAATAGGCTTTGGGGGTTTAGGGTTTAGGAGTAGATGGGTTTCCTTTCACCTTTTTGGGGTAGTATGGTCCTCATAAGCCCAAAGGTTAACCTTTAGTCCCTTTAGTTCCCCTAGGATACTGACGAACCAAGTAGGGTTCTGATGAACAAGTACTACTGTACTGCCCTAAACTCAACGGTTTGAACAAGTAGCACTAAGATCCCCTTTGTTTAGAAGTCTTTGCAAGAACCAGTTCTAGTATCCCCTCATAGTCCCTCTACTACCGTACCAACTCTATCCAACCCTCAACCCTACCTTAACCCTAGTCACTAGTCTGACGATCATCAGGTTCTTTGTCTTACTTAGGTTTGAGTCTGATTTCAAGATTATAGGGTTCAGAATCAGAATGAAGCACAGCCCCAAGGACTTATACCCCGAGCCAGACCTGATCTGTTTAGGGTTTAGGGCCCTCACCCTATCACCATTCTTGGCATCGCTGGGGGCGGGCTTACCGCCCCCAAGAAGCTTGGGCATCAGGCGTCATGTTGTCAGGATCAGATCTAGGCCTTCAATACTTCGAAAGCAGTTGCATGAGGCTTCATAACGAATCCAGAGGCCTTTTAGGGGTTTTACAGTTTTACACTGTTATTGGACGTTTGACCCGGTTCGATCAGGGTGTAGAGGGCTTGAAAGGGTTTTAGAGGGTTTGGAGTCCAGCAAGCCTGAATAACTACTTAGTAGCACTATGGTTCCCTAGCGCTCCTTGTCATAATGGTGGTGCTCGCCAAACCATAATGATTGAGACGATACTATTCGTATGTATTGTGCAGAAATCATCAGACAGAGCCGTCTTGCTTCGATGTCATGGAGTGGCCGACACCTACAGCTTCCGGCTGGTCGGGAGGTTCCTGGCTATGGAGCTGAGAAGTTGGTTCCACATGCTCAGACACGCCCTTGTTTTTCCGTCTCCCGAGGTTCACGTCAAGCTCCCGCTGCCTTCGACCACCTACCAGCTCCAGCAGCCTGGCCGGATGAAGATAGGGAATATAGGGCGTACCTTGAGCTACCAAACCCGGCTTTCTTCTAAGGACCCCTTATATTCAGTATTAAGGCTTACAATAAGAACCTACAAAAAAGCAGGCGATGGTAGTTTAAGGTGGGGTTTAGGGTGTATAGGTCCTTAGTTTGTCTGGGTTGTTTTGGGGTAGATGAGGGCCCTCCACATTTCCAGACACTCCTATACTACTACTTCTACTACTGCTACTACTGCTGCTACTTCTACTACTACTAGGAGTAGGAGTAGTAGTAGGAGTAGGAGTAGGAGTCGAGCCGTGGTCGTAGCAGAGGAGCAGAGTAGAGGTGACCGGGTCTCCTTAGCAGAAGTAGGAGAGTTTTGCAGCCGGGAGTCTGACAGTACTATAGGGGCCTTAATAATTAATTAGATTAGGGTTTTCGCGTATATGATACAAGAGTTATAATAAGGAACCCACTGAATAGTATAAGCAACCATTACGGCCCCCTGTATTAGACGGCAAAGGAGGATCGAAAATCAAGTAACGTTTTAACTCCACGGGGGTAGAGCTTCGCGCGAGGGCTGTATGTTTCTGGGGTTTGAAGGCGAAACGACAGGGACCTACCCGCAGGTTCTCCGCCAGCAACAAGGAGACGCCCCGACAAGTGCAGCAGCAGCCTTTGTGGTGCCCCGCACGGTAGCAATCGGTAGCACCACTTGCTTCCAGGGCTCCATTGCGACCATGACAGGCGACGGTGAATCCTTTGCATGGGTTATACTATCTTCGGGAGAGTGAAGGCAATGAATCCCGCAAAATAGGACAGGCTACCAACGCCTGTGATGGTCTACTCCACATCTGGCAGGCGATTGGGCTTGTTTCGGATCTCAGCGGTGTACCAGTGTCATGTGGTATTTGGGCTCCACCACGTTGTAAACGCTCGTGGTATTTCTTATCAATGCTGCCGGCGGGCTCAGAGCGTGTTTGTCCGCAAAACTCTCGTGCATGTCATGCCTCACTGCAGGACCAATCAACACCGATGTCAAAATCCTCAACCCTAAACCTCAACCCTAAACCTTAAAGTTTTGCAGACTTGCTTTCGGGCCGTATGTATATGTATGTATTTATTCACACCCTAAAACCATATACTAAACCCTCAACCCTAACCTGTATAAATATATGTACACACCCGAAACCCCGACTTGACGGCTGTGTTCTGGACACGCTCTGCCCTAGCGTATGAGTCCTCACCTCTGCTGGCCTTCGTTTCATGACACTGCGCGTGTCCTGGCTGCTGTCGGTCATCCAGGTGCAACTCGGCGATCTGTTGGTACATGTCGAGTTGGGCTTTGAGACTTTCCTTTCTTCCTAAAGTCAGAGAAACAGAGAGAGAGAGAGAGAGAGAGAGGCAGGCATATCTATATCTATATATTATATCTTTCTATCTATATGTATATACACACACATAATATACATAGATATATACATGTATACGTATATAGTTACATATATCTATATATACATATTCTACATATGTATCTATACTCATTTTAGAAACCAAGGACTCCAGCGGCCGATTAGCCCCGTGCCCCTGATTCAGACCCTGCGGCCTTGACTCCCCGAATCTGCACTTGAGCTCGTCCCAGGCAGACTTGCCTCGGCGTTTCCGTGCAAGTGGATGACCGCAGCGTGCCTTCATGTGTGGTTTAGGATGAGGATGAGGATCAGGATGATGGTGATGATGATGACGCCTAGCATGATAACATGTCGCAACTATCAGGGTTTGGGTCTATATATAGGGTTTGAGCGTGTTGTGAGTCAGCCGCCATTCACCTATCTTCGGGCACACATCGAGCTGTGCATGGTATCGTAGTAGCTGCGAGTGCAGGTTTGCACATGATGTTCGTCCCTGAGCTTGGTGAGTGTAAGTTAGTTCGTAGCGCATCCGAGTGTTCTTGCCGCGGTTGTTGATGATTCTAGAAATTCATGTCATCGCCGTCGTTCATCGTCGCTATCTTATTGGCAAAGTACGTGGTGGTGTTTTCGCTGCGGTGGCGGTGGCGGTGTCGTCGTCTTGTAATGTTTCTCTTGGCTTTATATGTGTACATGTTGTCTTTCTGTAGTACACTTTCTGATCTTACGCTTTCTGATCTTGCTTTGTACTGTTATTTTGGGGAACCTTGCCAGTGGAATGACGCAGTATGCTATTCCGGCTGTTCTGCTTTCGATCACATGTCATCGTGCTATGCTGTTCTATTGGTTGGACCCTCTATGCATATTGCTCAACCCCCTGCAGCTTCTGTTCAAGGTGGTGAGGCAGCAGCAGCTCCGCTCATTCGCAAGGCGGAGGAGAACACATCCTTTGCAAAGAGGTGGGTCTTCGTGCATGTCCCCAAGACGGCAGGAACGACAATCTGGGATGCATTGGGCCCTTCCTATACTGACTCTGGACGATATGACGAGGTGCAGTTCGCTTGCATGAAGCACAACCCTCCAAAACACCACGTCAGAAACAGCTTCGCAATTGTGCGGGAGCCGTGCGAACGACTGGTCTCTGAGTTTGCCTGGGCCAAGAACCAAGCCTGGTTTGATGTGTACTACAAAGAGTATGGCGTGGTCAAGACCTTCCCCCCCACGTGTGCAGCATGGCGATATCATCAGTCTGTTTTTTGATTTGTCCAAACAGACATCGAAGCAAGTCATGCCAAATTCGTTTAGTGTGAGTGTGTGCTCATGTGTGGAGCCTTGAGGGAGAGTTGCGAAACCCAAAGCCCTAAGCCCCTAAGCCCCTAAACAACCCTAAACCCTGTCAGCTGATGGCCATGTGTGTCCTACCGTCCTGGCTGTGTACAGCAAGCCTCGCGGAGACCTTCGGGCGCCGCAGAAAAGGAGCCTAAACAAAAATAAGAACCTATCTGCCGAAAGCCCCAGGAGATGTTCAACGGCTGGGTCCGTTCCGTCCTGCAGCGCTACACCGCGCAGTCGGACGTGGAAGATTGCCACATGATCCCACAGTGGTGCTATCTCTCCAAGGCGGCAGGGATCCCATTCTGTATTTAGGGTACACGAGGCGTTCTAAGTGCGATTCCAGAAAAGCTCAAGTATGAGATAAAAAGAATTGTTCACAAGAATTTCTAAATCATAATCATCATAATAGCGGCAGAAACACGGATCATACTCACAACGGTTTTATCGTAAACATAATCATCATAAACATCATTGTCGAAGTAATGATTTTCATAGCCAGAACAAGAACGCTCATACGTAGTTATACTAAGCAGAAGCATCGCACTGACAATAGTCCCAAAGGGTCCAAGTATCATTATGGTCTAAGTATATACCACAATGATACCTGGACCCTTTGGGAGTAATGCTAGTTTTGGGGGATATTTCCCCAAATCATAATAGTAATTCCTAATATAGAAACCCTACATTCTGCTATGCGCTCCGGGCGGAGGTCGACAGGATCCTTCCCTTGGACGACCGGCTGCAGAAGAATTTCCGGGCCTTGGCGCCGGAATTTGGCACCGCCGTGCTCAAGAGGCGATCGAGGGCTTTAGGATTCAGAGGTGCGTTTGGGATTCTGAGTTTAGGGCTTTAGGGTTTAGGCTGGATTTCTGGGCTGTGGGTTGAGAGTTTAGTGGTCCATGGATGTTTATTTCATACAGACGATGACAGGCTGAACTCGGACGACTCGGCTCGACGAAGCAATGTGACATGCGCGTGCTTGGATGCTGAAAACATGCTTCTTGGCTTTCTCGGATCGCAGTGCTGGTAAGAGAAGAGTTCAGCTCAAATAAGGGTTCTATAACTTTTCTGGTATAGATAACCTCGACGTCGGGATACCAAGTGATGCTATATCTGTTTGTGTTTTAATAGTTCCTGTATCCTTTTGGCAAAACCCTACTCGTAACATGGAAACTACGGCCGTTTTCGTAAATGCTGCAAACAGGTGGCTTGGTGTGTAAGGTTTAGGGAACATAAGATGCATGCCATCATGAATGAGCTACATCAAAGCCGGGACAGAGGCAGTTCAGTTTCTCGGAAGGCGAAATTTTGCTTGGGTCTGGCAAGTCAGCAAATGCGCATCTAAAGCCACAGGGACGTATCTATGTTTTGTTTATGATAGTAAACTCATGGCAGCAACCGGACGCCTTTTACCGGCACTGTTACTCAGCAGTTTATGCTGCCAATCCCTTCCCCCTAATATTAAAGGGCCCCCCCCTCCCCCTAATACTAAAGCTGGATTTCGGAGGTTTAGTTTTTATATTAGGGGGGTTTCGGTTCGGTGCATCCACGTATGAGTCCCTAAACCCGAAGCCTTAAACCTCGAGCCCCAAACCCTAAAGCCCTGAGCCCTAAACTTTCAGCCCCAAAGCCCCAAGCCCTAAAGCTTTAGCCCGAAACCCTTAAACCCTAAAGTCCTAAAGCTCTGCTGTCTTCTATAAACCCCTGAGCCCTAACCTTTAAGCCCTAAAGCCCTGAGCCCTAAACCCTTAAACCCTAAAGCTCCACTGTCTTCAGTACAGCTGTACTCTTTGGCTCTATTAAAACTCATACAATCCTAGCACCCCACCTAATGCTTTTTTATTCACTTTCACTTGTGGGCCCGAAATCGCGAAATTCCGGCGGGCCGAGAGTTTTTAGATTTTGGAGGGGTTTAATATTGTGACGCGGTGATCCCAGCTAGGGTCCTGAATCCTTGATTTATTTTTTTTATGGCAATAATATGGAAATAATATGAAATTGAAGATTTCGGGAAATGTGGAAAAAATATGATTGCATTGTGCTTGGATTTGAGGATTAGTCTCATCAATGCGCTTTGGCTTCAGGCTCGCCTCGGTGCAACAATGGCTTACTGAACACTGCCGCAGACCAGCAACAGCACATCTAATTCCGTTTGTGCCTGGCAGGTAGCTGCGAGTGCGTTTGCGTCTCCCGTTGTTGGGCTGGGAGCGTCAGCTGAGGGTTTCATCAGCTCTCATGTCTGCACTCGCTGTAAAAGTGGTGGGCGAGGAGGGGCGGGGAGGGGGGGGGGGTCGAGATCCGAAGCCCTCCGGATGAAAATTGGAGGGCGACACCCTCAGGCCGAAGCCCTCTCTGCTGCTCGCTGAGGCCTTTTCCGGGGCGGGGATCCACCGTTCTTTGCAAACATTTCGCGTGATTTGGAGGAAATTACAGTTTTCATTGGTTTTCCTAGCGTTTTCATATTATTTCCATATTTTTTCCATATTATTTTCCTATTTTTCTCCTATGTTTCTCCTATTTTTCTCCTATTTTTCTCCTATTTTTGCTATATTTTTGCATACCTAAAAAATATAGCAAAAATAGGAGAAAAATAGGAAAATAATATGGAAATAATATGGAAAAAATATGGAAAAAATATGGCCCGGAACGCCCCCCTCTCCAGAAGCAAGAGCCTTTCCGCTTCCAGCCCTGCCCTGGCCAGTCTCCTGCCCAAGCCCCCGCCCGGCATTGAACGCCGATACATCCATGACGACACAAATGAAAAGAGTAGCATGTACCACAACGACGTCTGTTACAACAGTGCACGATTCTCTAACTCAGTGCTTCCCACATGTGTGCACATGATGCCTTGACTACACACTGTCCCTCTATGCCTCCTCTTCATCAAACCGTCGAAATGAGCTGATTTACACACAGCTGCAGACGCAAGTTGAAGAGTCCCAACGGTCGTGTAACGCAGCATGTTCGTGCGATTTTGGCGTATTTTCTAATTCATATTTTTCCCATATTTTTACTATAACTTTTAATTATCTAGGTTAGACTAGCTCCTGGCCGAGGTTGGCGTCACAAGTTTAATACTGTTGATGATCTAAATCCTGCATTACCCATAATAAGGAATATACCATAAATTCCATAGTCTAGGGCCCTTAAGGTCATGCAGGATTTATATCATCAACCGTATGGGGGGAAGCGATTACAGCAAAAATCAACAACCACAACAACTGCTGCTGCTGCCGCTGCTCCTCCTCTTACTCCTCTCTCCCTTCCTACTGCTAATGTGCTAATGCCACTGCCTCTCCTACTACTACTACTACTACTACTACTACTACTACTACTACTACTACTACTACTACTACTACTACTACTACTACTACTACTACTACTACTACTACCGCTGCTACTGCTACTACTGCTGCTGCTGCTGCTACTACTACTACTACCACTGCTACTGCTACTGTTCTTGCTACTGCTTCTGCTCCTGCTCCTGCTGCTGCTGCTGCTGCTGCTACTGCTACTGCTACTACTACTGCTACTACGACTACCGTGACGACGACGGCAACGACCAGGACGGTAGGGACTCGACTACACTTGCGACAACGACCGACTGTGGTACGACTACGACTATACCGTGACTATTACGACCGACTTGTACGGCTGCGGCAACAACGACTGCCGCTACTACTACGACCAGTAGAACCAGGTACTAGTACTTGTACTGGTGCTAGTGCTAATGCTAGTGCTAGTACGACAGCGGCAATGCGACGATGAGTGCTTTTGCCTATGCTACTTGCGACTGGCTCACGATGCCTACTACTACTTACTACGAGTTGTGCAGCTGTAGCTGCCGCTGTGGCTGAGGATAGGGACTGCAGCCATCAACAACCTGTGACCATTAAACGAGCTTTTGCATTCTTCAACTTTCACCATCCTCGAAAGTGCAGCGGTGTAACGTATCTCTGTAGCAACTGATACTTACCCACAAACCTACGCATGCAGCGCCGGAGCACCCAAGGATGGCCATCCAGCGACATTTCCGCGACGACTTTGCCACTGGGCTTCCTAGACTTGTGTTGGTCATCACATGAATCATACCGATCATACCAAGCTCGGGTGTTCGTTCAAGTTGGCGTTGCTCCCTTCGAGAGATTTTTTCCATCGTAGATGTTGACTGAGCTGTTGAGTTTAAAGGTGTTGCCGATGGCCAACCTCATCGCTAGATAATAAAAGTAAGATACTATAGTGGCCCAAATGATTAACTACCTATACTAGTTTGGGGTGTATAGTATATTGGGCCCCGAAGCCCTATTCCATTTTTTATCAGGCCCCTTTATGTTACGCCTTTACCCGAGACAAGACATCCGGCATCCGATCCCCAGAGCCACTTTGTTTAAATAGCTGCAGAGGAGGATCCTCGGTCAGAACCTCCGGCACCCGGGGATAGCTGTAATTTACTAGGATGCCCAGTGCTACCCTTATTCCCCTTTTGTAGTCCTAGGTTCCTTAAAAAGTTACCCGATACCAAAAAGGGAGCCCGTTTCATTCCTAGGTTACTGGGCATCCTAGTTTAGTGCCTGCATCTGAGTGTGACGGATCGCTTAGGCCCTAAACCCTAAGCCCTAAGCCCTAAACCCCGCTCGAATCGAGACCAGTTGAAAGTTTGAATATGTCGGCTTAACACCTCGACCTAACCTCGGATCCCCTATAAGAAACAACCAAAAACCCAAGAAATTGCTCCTGAAACCCCGAAACCTAAACCCTAAAATCCTAAACCCTCAAACCCTAAACCCTCAAACCCTAAACCCGAAACCCCAAAACCAGAAGCCCTTGAGAGCACCCTGAACCCTAAACATCCCAAGGCCACCTGGCACGAGATCTCCGGCCGCTCATCGCCCTTTGCCCCGCAAAGCGCTTTGGCTGCTGCGGGCTGTCATACTTGGAGGATCATGAGACTTAGTATCTAGGGTGATAAATAAGGTAACTGTACTTACAACTCCAACTTGGGTACTTGTAACCTTACTTACTAAGTCCCATGATCCTCCAAGCAGTCATACCACAGGGGGTTTATGTATTTACCTACAGGGTTCCTAGGGTTCCTTTAAGGGCTCTATAAGGGTTTCTATGAGGGATCGATAGTAGGGTTTTATGTTATGGGGGCTTTAGCAGTTGCCAATGCTATTCTTTGGGGGTCTCCTTATTATAATTATAGTCTCATGGGCCCGAAAACCGTATTCTAACTATGAAAGCTTGTTTTCGTCATAGTGTGCTTGGGTACATCCGTAGGATTGAGGGTGTAACCTATCATGTCGGTAACCGGTTCTCTACAGGAGTTCGTAGCATGAACCCCTCAGCCCCTAAACCTTCAAGCCTATCACCAAACCCTCAACCCTAAACCCCTAAACCCCAAAAAACCCTAAACCCCAAACCCCTAACCCCTAAACCCCTAACCCCTGAACCCTAATCCCCTAAACTCCCAAACCCCTAAACCCCTAAACCCTACTTGGAAGGGCAGGGGACTTAGTAAGTAGGTTATTATAAGTAGAGTTATAAGTACCCTAAATAGAGTTACCCCAATTATAGCCCTACTTATAACCTACTTACTAAGTCCCCTGCCCCTCCAAGTAAACTCTATCAAGACGAAGGCAGTGGGCCGTGGCCGCGAAGTGCCGAGTGCAGCTTTCGGAAGCACGGCATGGAGATCTGAGCGGTTACCCCCAAGGGTCCAAAGGACCCTTGGGTTTAGGGGTTTAGGGTTTAGGGTTTGGCGATTTCCGCATTTTTTTAGCTCCAAGGGTCCAAAGGACCTAATATTAATTGGGTACTGGGTTTTAGGATAGCAGTTATGTAGGTTAGGATTTGGGAGAGTGTACCATTATGAGGTGCTTGGACCCTTGGGGTTAGGGTCTGTACACCCTCAGGATTCCAGGTTGCAGGTTGATTGATTTAATTGAATGAAGCCCTATACACGCTTAAACCCACCAGTTTACACCCTTTACACTAAGGCCCTAAGGGTCTATAGGGTTCCTTGATTTAATTGTTTGGGGTTTACGGTTTATGGATTTCGGAAGAGCTGCATGGAGATTTGAGTGGTTAGGATCTAAAGGGGTTCCTCTATGTGGTTCTGGTAAGGCTTCCGTTGCAGGGTTATTTTACGGGCCCTTTGAGGATTACTGCAAGTGTCCAGTATATTTGAGAATCCGAACAGGGTTAGGGGTGATATCCTGGTATAGTGATGGCTGGGAAGTTTAAGGAATAGGATGGTAGTAGCTTTTGGGCCCTTGTACCAACTTCAATCCTAAACATTATAGGGTTTGGGTTAAGAGTTGAGGCTTAGATGTCATAAAAAGCCTGAGCCCTAAACCCCCAAACCCTAAACCCTGGCATCCAGCGCTTCCCAGCCCAGCTTTGAAGAGCACATCCGCGGCACTTGTCGAAAAGGCGATCGCCGGCCTTGATGCCCGAAACGGGTTTATAGGGCCTTTAGGGTTCAGGGGTTTGATGTGTAGGGTTTAGGGTTTAAGGGTTTAGGGTTTAGGGTTTAAGGTTCAGAGTTTAGAGTAACCCTAAACCGAATTTTACAACCGTGGACGAGGCGACGGTTGGGGTCTCCTTGGAAGGGTTGCAGCGTACTCGGCAGGTACACGGTTCGAAGCACTGGTCAGTGTCAGTCCCTCCTACGTTCTATCGACGACCGCATGATCAACAAGTTCGGGTGCCGCACTTAGATTTCACAGCCGCCGTAGAGTTTAGGGCCAGGGTTTAGGGCCTATAAGGCTTGAAGGTTCGCCTCCATACGGATTTGGGCTTGAATCCCAAGCCGAAAGATCAAGCACTATGACAGAGTACCCATCTTTTCTGATCTATATAGCTTTAGCTCGCAAACTAATTTGATTATATCTTTAGTCTCAGTTATAACGAAATTCGAAACCCTCTTATCCAGTATTTGTGCCTATCATGGTAACTTGCCTTAAGTATGACCCCCATGATCGTAGCTTACACTGAGTCTCTCAGTTCTAAACCCGGAAATCCTAAACCCTAAACTTTAAACCTATAAGCCCTAAACCTCAGCAAGGAACTACCCAGAGGCTCATACCCTACCCCTTTTTTAGATTACTTACTTTGCTATATAACATAACAGATCCTGACTAAAGAACTGGGTACCTGAAAACAGGGGTCAGGCTCCTGGAGCTGGGACTCCCTTTGCTCGCAGGGTGTCGCGCAGGGAGTCCTATCGATGATTCTAGGGTCTAGGATATGATTCTCGCAGACTTATAAGCCCTCAACACTAAGCCCTAAGCCCGAAAGTGCCATTGCAATCAAAAAGACCCTGGCCCAAAGCCCTAAGACCTATCACAGTGCAGAGAGGGCTTGGAGGCCCATTCAGTCACCTATTGCCGTGCAGGTGGAACTCCACACTGTCCGCTTTCAAACCCCATGGCCTGAACCTTGAACAGTAAACCCTTGCTGCACCTCTTAAATAAGCTTGTCAAAGAAATCCGAATCGCTCTTGATAGAAGCCCTCCGCAATGCAACCCACTATGCTGCGGAGAAAATGCAAGGTTTGTCAAGACGGAGCTGGAGACGCAGCTGTCAGGAGTCACGATTCTCGCCCCCTTGCAGTACAGGCTGCCTCGTGTCGGACAGGCACTCACGATGTTCGACCCCTAACCCGAAACCCTAAAACTGGAAAATTAACCGAAGCAAACAGTTATATCACTCAGGGAGTTGGAGGTTCAGAAGATGTATGTCCGTCGTCTCAGTCTCCATTATGCAGGTACGTAACGTTTGGAAGGAGGTTCAGTATTTGTGTAAGTATGTAGGTACGTAGGCAAGCAAGTAAGTACCTAAGTAGGTAACCAAACAAGTTGGCTTCAAGCGCTCACAAGCGCCCTCTGACACACGTATCTCACGACGAACCTACGATCGGGGTTGAAAGGAGTATCCCTGCAACACCCCGACACATGTATAGCGCACTGCACATCTCGACCGTGATGGACTGCGCGACGAAAGCCTTGAAGCAAGCTGGCAAGCTGGCCGAAAGCCCCGAACGGAACAACAAGCTCCGAAGCATGGAGTACTAGCTGTCAGTGTCAATAAGCAGAGAACCTTGCAATGCAGGGTCCTGGTCGGCCAAGTCTACTTCTTGGTCTATGTCGCGGGAGACTGAGTTAAAATATCCCAGCGAGCACACGAAGACAATAAGCCAGAAGGCCATAAAGGTGAAGTGTTGCGGCTTGAAGGAACACTAAACCTTAAACCCTAAACCCTAAACCGCCCCAAAATCTTATACCGCTGTTTCTTTTGTGGAAGCTCGTGATCTCCAAGTCCTGGCTAGCATTGCAGTGTTCCCTAAGGGTCCATGTACTCATATAGTATATACATTGGCCTTAATGTAGCCCCTATTTAGGTACATTGGGGCCCAAGTATATGCTATATGAGTACATGGACCCTGAGGGGTTTGCTGGCTTGGAAGCTGTCAGCTTGAAGGGACCCCAACTCACTGTAAAACCGCGGCTGTGCAAAGAAAGTGTCTGAAGGAATATCTGCTTGTTGGCCCTAATTAGGCCATGAGTAATTGAATGCCAAACTTCAGCTAAACCAACAACGCCCGCAACCCTCTCAACCCTGAACCACAAGCCCTGCAACCCTGGACGCCTAATCCCTAAAGAGCCCATCACGACACCCTTATACTGCCTTGGAGGCCCCTCTGCTTTTGTTACTTTAAACCCTAGACCGCTGAACCCTTACATGATCCCAGGGTTTAGGGTTTCAAAGCCTCCTTAACCCCTAAACCCAAATTAAAGCCCTAGATTCTCAGCATCAGGACCAGAGTGTGGCCCTCTCTACGGCACGGGAAGCACTGCCCCTGCAGAAGGCCCTGGAAGAGGACATGGCTTTGGGGTTCTGCAATAGCAGTTTAGGGTTTGGGGTTTAGGGCTTGGGGTTTAGAGTTAAGGGGTCTAGGCGGTTTAGGGTTTAGGGGTTCTGTCCATGATGCCAAAAGGGCAACTTGAATTGTAGTGGCCGTAGTAGTTACAACATGGGTTTTGGATGTCTGCCATGGCATAGTAGTATTGCAGCTGTAAAGGGACTACAATGGAATACGGTTCCCAAGCCCTGTAATCCTAAACACCAATAAACTAGACCCTAAATCACGATGTAGCTTACGCCTTCCAGTCCAGGGCTGTGCGGTTTTGGTCTTAAGGCTTTAGGCTGCAAGGTTCAGGTTCAAGGTTGTATGACTTCGAGCTTGCTGTTAAGGCCTTCGCTTCGAACTTATTCGTGATTGCATGCTTTGAGGTGTACAATACTATACTGCATGAACCTGCAGACCAAGAACAAGGGAAGCCTCTTCGTCTAAGCCATCCCTTCTCCTAGAGTTCCGCTGCGAGATCTCTATGGTTTGAGGGGCTTCAGCTACAGGGTATGTGGCTGAGACGACTTACCACCAACACAACGACGGCTGCGAATGTGGAAACGGCAACTACTGACTGCAAATATCACTAGCTGCACTCTTTTTTATATGACTTCGCAGCGCTTCAGAGAATCTTTAAACCCTGAACCCTAGCGCGATGTGACCATGACGAGCTGTTCGAAGAATGGTTTATGCCCGTGACAACCTGAGTGCAGAACTGGTGCTGCTGATGATGCATAGCATCAGCAAGGCCATGTAGATGTCCCTGAGCCCCAAACCCAAAGTTACGCCACACATCCCCCAAATAGCTCTGACGCTTCTACAACCTCAGACTACTACCTCAGACTACTATGGGGGCCTAAAGTATTACCTAATCTTGGGGGCTCGTTATTATATTTACAGTATACAAAGACTCTATTCCAATTTATAGTACCCTTATAGATCCCTCATAATAACCCTTATAGACCCCTGTACAGGAACCCTATTCTAATCATTGCGTCCCCTACGAAAAAGTCGGTGCCACAGGAGGAGTCTGGACCATCAATCTTCTCGTCCCGGCTTCTGCCGAAGGCGTAATCTTGGGTTAGGGTGTAGGGTTTAGGGTTTAGGAAGCCGTTTGCCCCAAACTTGGTGGTGTGTCCGAGGGGACCTAAACGCTTGACGCATCCCAGAGAGCCTGTAGTTGTTGGTGCTTGGAGTCCGTGTGAGTGCGAAAGGAAAGTAGTGCCACCGAAATGATGGCTTTGGCCCTTGTGCATGCTCTTGCTCTTGTGTCCATTTGCTTCTACGACAGACGAGGTTTGGGCAATAGTTGAAGATTTGGGCCTCCAATTGCCTTTCTGGGCCAGCCGAGGAGGTTTAAGTAAATTGAAAGGTCTTGGCCACAGAGCAAGGTTTAAGTAAATTGATAGGTCCTGGGCCCCAGAGGTTTAAGTAAATTGAAGGGCCCTGGGCCCCAGAGTAGAGGAAGGGCCTGGGCACCAGAGGAGGGGGTCCGTGTGAGTGCGAAAGGAAAGTAGTGCCACCGAAATGATGGCTTTGGCCCTTGTGCATGCTCTTGCTCTTGTGTCCATTTGCTTCTACGACAGACGAGGTTTGGGCAATAGTTGAAGATTTGGGCCTCCAATTGCCTTTCTGGGCCAGCCGAGGAGGCTGCCCCTGCCCCTCCCCTCCTGCCCCCTGCCCCTGCTGCCCCTGCCCCTGCTGCCCCTGCCCCTGCCCCTGCCCCTGCCCCCCTCTTTGCCCCTGCCTGCCACCTTGTGCTCTGAGCAAGCCTTGCAGTGTGTGTATGTGCGACTTGGGTAAGCAGTGTTTGTGCCAGCGAATGCCTTGAACCAGCCTTAGGTCTTCCCTGTGCTGACGACGACGACCAAGTGCCTTGAGTTGGCTGCGAAGCGACGGCAGCGACGACGACGACGAGATGATTGGCGTGCTTGTGTGTGCATGTGCATGTGCGAATTGGCGAACCGGGGTCCGTGCGGCTGGAAAGTGTACATGTAAAGAAGAGGAGTGGTAATGCTTGTGCAAGAGTTTTCGGGTTTAGGGTCTAAGCCCGAAAACCAGACTGTGTGCAGTGCAGCTTGAGGGTCTGTGCAGTGGACCACAAGTGGGGGCCCGGGCTCACACTTGGGCCAAAGGTGAGAAGCTTATTTGCAAAATAACTTGGTGCGATCTTCAAGCTTGTGTGTGACTTGTTGGTACAGCTTTGAAGTAGCTGATGTGCAGTGCGAGTTGGTGCGACCTTGAAGCTTGTGTGTGACTTGGTAGGACTGCGAAGTAGCTTATTGTATGCAGTGTGACTTGGTGCTACCTTGGATCAGCTTGTGTGCAGTACGACTTGGAGCTGTGTGTGTGTGTGCAGTGCGACTTGCTGGAGTTCTGTGAGATGGTGCAGTCTGGGGCACCAGAGGAGGGTTGTGAGTAAATTGAAGAGCCTGGGCACCAGAAAAAAGGGGTTTCGGGCCCTGTCATTCAGGGCGACGTGCTGTAATCTGCCGTAAGCAAAGCAAGCAGGGTAGTTTGTGCATGTGCGACCGAGCCATGTGTGATGTAGATGTGTGTGTGTGTGTGCAGCTTGATGCCTTTTGCCAGTGCCTTGAGCCAGATTTCACCGAAGCCAATGCTTGCACTTGTATCTCTGTGCTAGGGCCTGTGTGTTGCAGCATGTGCTTCCCTGTGTGTCCCCGGTGTGCAAGTGCGAGGGTTCCCATCCTTAAGGGGAACTTTATAAATCCGAGCTTAGTAAGGGGTGCCGATCCCTATAAATTCAAGGGGATCCCTATAAACCTGCGGGTCCTTGCACCCAGGGCCATATGCCATAGTCAGAGCTTAGTAAGGGGTGCCCATCCCTATAAATATGGTGGGATCCCTATAAATTCAAGGGGATCCCTATAAACCTTCGGGTCCTTGCACCCAGGGCCATATGCCATAGTCAGAGGTCGGGTGTGGGGTTTAATAGTGGGAAACCCAAGGAAAAGCTATTTTTAGAAAAGCTATTCCATCCATGTCTTGGCTACAAGTGGGCAAGGGGGTGGGGGTCGGGTGTGGGGTTTAATAGTGGAAAACCCAAGGAAAAGCTATTTTTAGAAAAGCTATTCCATCCATGTCTTGGCTACAAATGGGCAAGGGGTGGGGGGGGTGTGGGGTCGGGTGTGGGGGTTTAATAATGGAAAACCCAAGGAAAAGCTATTTTTAGAAAAGCTATTCCATCCATGTCTTGGCTACAAATGGGCAAGGGGGTGGGGGTCGGGTGTGGGGTTTAATAGTGGAAAACCCAAGGAAAAGCTATTTTTAGAAAAGCTATTCCATCCATGTCTCGGCTACAAGTGGTGGCAAGGGGGTGGGGGTTCGGGTGTGCCGGGGTTTAATAATGGAAAACCCAAGGAAAAGCTATTTTTAGAAAAGCTATTCCATCCATGTCTTGGCTACAAGTGGGCAAGGGGGTGGGGGTCGGGTGTGGGGTTTAATAGTGGAAAACCCAAGGAAAAGCTATTTTTAGAAAAGCTATTCCATCCATGTCTTGGCTACAAATGGGCAAGGGGGTGGGGGGTCGGGTGTGGGGTTTAATAGTGGGAAACCCAAGGAAAAGCTATTTTTAGAAAAGCTATTCCATCCATGTCTTGGCTACAAATGGGCAAGTGGGTGGGGGGTCGGGTGTGGGGGTCGGGCTGTGGGGTTCGAGTGTGTAGGCGGGTGCCTGTGTGCCATACGACGTGGTGCGATCTTGAAGCTTGTGTGCGGCTTGGTGCGACTCTGAAGCATGGGTGCAGTGCGATTTGGTGCGATCTCGAGACAGCATGTGTGCGACTAGGTACGACTTGGAAGCAGCTTGTGTGCAGTGCGACTTTGAAGTAGCTTTGTGTGCAGTGCGAAGTGGTGCGAGCTTGAAGCTTGTGTGCGACTTGGTGCGACTTTGCTTGAGCTTGGTTTGGAGTGCCTTGAGCCTTGTTGCTTCAGGTGTCAAGAATGGTAGATGTGCATGAAGCAGGCGGGGGAGCTATCAACAAGCCTAGGCAGACCATGGCACAAAGCTGCAGTGCAGAGAAACACCTAGACTCGACGGGTCAAATGTGCAGAGCTGCAGCGGCTTTTTGTTCAAACAACAAGCTCTTTGCAAGTAATCTTGTGATCATGGATTCTGCAACAGCCAGATCCAGATCTAGAAGCCCTCGGGCATCCTCGTCTGAGGACGAGCAATTCGATGTTGAAGTCGAGTCTGCTGCCGAAGAGCCGGAGCTCGACGGTCAAGCTTGGCAGCTCGACTTCAACAGCTTTGGCACCGGGCCTGTCGACGTGGATATGATCTTCAAACAGATTCTGCCCAGAGAGTTGCCTGTCGGGGATGATGTGCTGTACATCAGCAAGGAGGGTGCGGTCCCAAAAATCTATCCTGAAAGGGGATGTTTCATTCATTTGGCCGCACATCCTGTGGATGTCTTTTGTGCTGCTCCCCCTGGCTGCCGAAATTTGTACTCTGGCAAAAGGAAGATCTGCGAGGCACTGGTGAAGCAGGGGTTGCAACTTGCTGTGCCATGTGTGGCTGGGGAGTCACTGATGCTGGGGATGACCAAGATTCCCTGCAAAATGTTTCTTGCTGCCTTGGAAGCCTGCAACATAGACACAGTGTACGTGGGACACTTTGGGGCCCGGTGGCTTTGTGCCACAATCGGGGACGGTGTCCGTGCCGGGGTCTTACATGGCCTAACCTCTTGGCACACTGGTGTTGACCTTGCTTGCAGACTGGGTGACAAAACCAAGATTTTATTGCTTGGTTTCAATATTGGCGACACAAGTGGTGTTACCAATACCCCTGCCTTCCACCCAGCCATGTGCCCTCTGAAAGCAAGGGTCCAGCGTTTAGCGTCGTTTACAGTCTTCCAGGTGGATCAGGGCTTATGAGGTTAGGTAAGCGAATGAAGTTCCTCTGCTCATCGTCTCCGACAGCCATTGCCGCTGTTTTCACCAGCTCACATCTTGAAGTATGTTTTGAGCGGTTCAAGGTTTACTTATGGCTCGGGCGCTCCAAATGGCAGAATGTAATGGAATTTCACTGGGCTTGAACCCCACGCCTTAAACGCGGAGATCTAAATCTACCCAGATGCCACTACTTGCTTTAGTGATGCAAGGATCGTAAGAGCTCTGTTGCCGGCAGCAGGTAGGTGGTCGGTGAGTGGGTAGGCAGGAAGGAGGCAGGGAGGTAGGTAGGTAGGTGAGTAGGCAGGTAGGTAGGCAGACAGGCAGGTAGGCGGTATGTAGGATATCAGGTTTGCATCAGATGTTGCTTAGCTTGCTTTGCAGGTTGTTGTTGTTGCTTGTTGTTCGTATTGTTGTGTCATGCTGTGTCTGTTGGTGTTGTTGGCTTTGTTGTTGCGTTTGTGTGTTCGTTTGGTGTTGTGGTTCAATTCTGTGTGTTTGTTTGTTTGCTTGATTGCATGTTTGTTCGGTTGTGTGTGCTTGTTGTTTGTTGCGTTTGTTTGTGTGTTTGTTCGTTTGTTACTGTGTTCTTTGTGTGCTTGTTTGTTTGTATGTATGTGTGTGTGTGTGTGTTTGTTTGTTTTTGTTTTGTTTGTTTGCTTGTGTGCTTGTTTGCGTTGTGTTTGCTTGTTTGTGTTGACGGGTGGTTTGGTGGTTTGCTTTGTACTTGGCAGTTTTGCGTTGGGGTTGCTTTGTTGACTTGCTTGCTTGCATGTTTGCTTGCTAGTGTTGTTGCTTGTTTACTGCTTGGCTGGCAGAGTGCCCTTACGTAGACAGTGCGGTTCGTGTACTTGAGCAATGGATTTGCTGCGGTCTACATGTGCCTGTGTGTTTGTGCATGCCAGTACTCCTGCGTTTCTGTGGGTTGTTGGATCCTTGAGCACATGCAATGCATCACAAGAGGTTACCAGGGCACGTCTCATTTTTCTGACAGAACAAACAAGCAGAGCCAGCAAAGCAGGAACACCACACATCAAGCCTCTGCAGGCACTCAAAACGGAGGGTGTTACTTTCTGATGTTAACGACGAAGTTTACAGTGGAGAAGCCAGCACATGCTCTACACCTCACACGATGCGTGCACTTTCAATTACCTCGGGTAGATGAGGTCTCAGGCATCCTCTTTTTATGATTTCGGAGCAAGAACCATGCTGTCGGAACTGCTTGGCTGTTTTGGCCGCAAAATATCCCAGAGCCCTGCACACATGCCTAGACCCTCAAGCCGCCTAAGACCCGAAACCCGAATCCCGGACTGGAAGCCCAAGGGTCCAACCCAACAACATACTTTCCAAAATCCTAACCTAAATATCTGCTGCCCTACAACCGACTACACCACTCATTCGGTCCTTTGGACCCTTGGGGTATAAGCCCACACCCACTTGCTGCGCACGCGCACGCGCGTGGAAGGAGCCTTCCTCCTCGCGGGAGGCTGGATGTATACATATGGGTGTTTCCGAATATTAGGCGTGCCTGTTTTTGGGATCCTACTATTTAGGGTACTATGTTATGTTAGGGTCCCCTATTTTCGGAAACTCCCATATGGGTGGTTCCCTATATTAGGGCCCCTTTGGGGGGATCCTTCTGATAAGTAAGGGTGCTGTGCTATTTTGGACCCTACTTGAGAGAACAAACCATGTACACGTTACATGTTCATACATCAGATTAAGATGCGCGGCATTGATCATCTATATATACACACACACACAGATCTATTGACATATGCAGTGCATACATTATTGAGACGGCAGAAATATACATACATACATACATATCTACACATAAGGTGTTGTTATTGATGAGCATAAAAACATCGCCTTCAAGGAGTACAGGAAATTAGGCTTTAAAGCTTAGGCTTCATTTGCCGGGGGAATAATGAAAGTCCGGCTATTGGCTTGAGTGTTGTTGTTTTTTGCGGATTGATCGGGTCCTTAGGTTAATGGGTGCTCAATTGTGGCAAGCCCTGAAGCCCGAGGTCGTTAAACCTCAGCATCCCTACTCTAGTCCAGTCTTGCATGTCAATCCTAAGGGTCCATGTCCCCAAATAGTATACACTTTGGCCCCAAAGTACCTATATAGGGACTACGGCCAAAGTATATATACACCATTTTGGTACACGCACCCTTAAGGCAACAAGCGCGGTGCAGGTCAACCCTCAACGCTGAAGCCTTAAACCCTGAAGTCCTATATAGCCCTAAAGCCCTAAAACTAAAGCCCTAATCCCTAGGCCCCAAACTCTAAACCCAAACCAAACCGTGCAGGTCAGGAAGATGCATCAAGTCCTGCAGGAGGGCCTGGCGAAGCACACGCAGGTGCACATTTGAGGGGGCAGCTCCGAGGGTGTTGTGGCTGCTCTCAATATATGTGAGTTTCGGAAATGGGGGGGGTACAGTATTGTAAGGTCCTTATATTAAGGATCCCTAACATGCCATATATCGATCCCCTAACCATATCATAAGTGTATTATAGATATATTACACTTGTAGAGTAAGTACCTGGACACCAAAAGTACGTAGAATAGTGGCCCTTTACAGCCCAAATTGTGAGTCAGACCAGGGGCTTTCGGGTGTTGGTCTTTAGCATTTCAGGTTGGTTGGTGCGTGTGTGCGTGTGTCTCGGACTCAGGGTCAGAGTGTGGGTGTAGAGGGATCGACCTGTGTGCTGCTTCCTGCAGACTTTGAGGCAGATTCTTTACACTTTGAATTGGGCTCGACGTGGGAGTTGCTGCAGGTGTATATATCTTTGTTTTCGATGTTACTACTAGGAGGGCTGAGGGTTTAAGTGACCTTCAATCCTACGGTTCAAGGCGTGGGTCATTTCTAGGTTTGGAGCGTCAAGGTTCACAAGGCCCTCTAGGCCCCCTGAAAGCGAGACCGGTCAAACAAACAAAGCTGACTCATGCCTCCTGCAAGCCCCTTTCCTACCTGCTTCGCCACTTTCTGTGCCCGCTGATACTGCTGATGGACAAAATCCTGCATTACCCATTACAAGGAATATACCATAGTTCCCATAGTCTATAGTCCTTAGGGTCATGCAGGAGTTTGTCCATCAGCAGTAGCTTGGGGATGTCCCCTAGAACTCCGCGAGATGCCAGAGCCCTGAATCCAGTGGTTTAGGGTTTAGGGTTTAGGGACCCCCAGGCCCTGGTTAAGGCCTAAACCCTTCACACCCTCACCCTCTTAGCGATCGACATTATAATCGCAAGCAAGTATATTCATCAGTAAACATGATTTTGTTTCATGACCAAGTTGTAGCAAAGTCGCAATGATATTTTAGGGCGTATGCTGGAATCACGATGAATACCAGCATGTATGTCACGAACATTAACCCCTTCCCCTTAAGATTTAACGGAGATGGGGCCCCCTCAAAGAAACTTGGAAAGTGCTTTTATTAACGGGTCACCCCCCTCAAGGTAGCTGGTGTTGTTTTTCTGTTTCGGGAGGTGCGCACCCCCAAATGTTAATGTTGTTGGCTCAGCTCCTCGGTCGGGCCGATGGAGGGTCGCACAGAGCCAAAAATGCATTTTCGTGAAACAGCAAACATGTCGGTTTTTACACTTTTTGCGAAGGCCTGAACGGCTTCAATCTGGGGGGGGTTTTGGCAAGGTCCGAGGACACTATTAGTGGGGGCCGGTGTCGCCCTTTTAAACTCCTCTCGCCCCGGGGCCGTGCTCTTGCTCCTGCTCTGGCTCTTGCTACCGCGCTGGCTTTTGCTCCTGCTTCTGCGGCGTCTGTTGCGCCTGCGCCTGCTCTTCCTGTTGCTTCCCTCTTTTGCTCCTGCTCTTGCTCCTACCGCTCGTGCTTTTTCTTTGCTCTTGCTGATGCTCCCTCGTTTGCTCTTACTCCTGCTCTTGCTCTAAATCCTGCTCTTGCTCTTGCTGTTGTTCTCGCTCAGAACAGGTTCTAAAGGGAAGGGGTGATTTCGGGAGGATTAGGGGGGTGTTTAAGAAAAGGGGGAAGGGATTAAGCAGAAAAAATAGACGCATAAGTTGGAGCTGACAAGTAATTTGAAGGATGTGTTCCGATTGCTTGGATTGTAACAACATTACTTAGGCTACTGGCAGTCGTAGAAATATAGAGGTGAGCAGTGGGGACATCCACCTGGACCTGATGTTGCACAACGGTCAGCACGTGCATGGCCTCAGGCCGTGCGCTGCAGATGGCTACGTTTAGGTAGGGTTGAACGGTCCCTGGAATGTTTAATGGGCTCTATAAAGGATGCATAAGGCTTACGGCATAAGGGATCTGTAAGGGTTCTGCAGGGGTTTAGGGTTTCAGGGTCTAGGGCTTAATAAGGGGTTTCCAGGATCCAGGGCCTTGTGTTTGAGCTGTTCGTTTGTAGACTGAAGGATCTCGCAGGCTCCAAAATCATCACGCCCTAACTCAAGAGCTGTGCAGCAATTAGTACGTCTTCGGGTCCCCCAACTGGCGCAGCTCCCTGACCTATCGACATACAAAAAGGCACCGAACAAGTTTTGGCAAAAAGATGAACCAACAACGCAAAAGCATCAGTGCCTTTCTTGGCAGTTCTTCAGAGTATTTGCCCGCTTTTGGCTGAAAGGGTAGGTGTTGGCTCAGCGTCTTAAAGCTTGTTGCTTGGAGCTTTGGAAGCTATACTTCACTCTTAGGCATTGAGGCTATTGGATTTCCAACTTTTGGGCTTCTACTTACTGTAGGACCATGCAAGATCGGTTGGCCTAGTTGAACCTAGCTGACCTGTTTACAACCACAACTGGGACCATCTTTCCCTAAGTACTTGGGACCTTCAGATTCGGGTGAAGGTTGGAAGCCCTAAACCCTAAACCGTGGACTGGGTCCAGAAGTTCAGGATTTTGTGGTCTGGGATTTAAGATATGGGCTTCAGGACCCCGAACTCTTAACCCCTGAGCCCTCAACCCTGCCCCTAAGCGCTAAACTTACAAGCGTTGGCATGCGACACTCGCAGACATGTCCAGAACCGTACTTGCAACCAACATCCTGCCGAAAACGGGCTCAATAAACTCTCCCGAGCTTTTGAAACAGGAAACTAAAAAAGGGCTCAATAAGCTCTTCTGAGCAAAGGGAGCTGTGTGGTTGTCTTTTTGTGCATGATGATTATTCCTATTGCTATTATCACTACTATAATTACTGTTATTATTACTATTATTATTAGTACTATTATTATTATTGTGCAGGGAGCGGCATGACTTCCCCGGCCTCTTTGAGTCCTTGCTGACCATCTCGGAGCTGGACGCATCGACCAAGGTGCCGCAACCCTAAACGGTCTAGGGTTTAGGGATATAGGGGTTTAGGGTTTAGGACCGCTACTAAAAGGGCCTTGACAAGTAGGATAGGGTTTTGGGGTATCTTAGTATATAACCATAGCAAGGAATCCGAAAACAGTCTCGGCAATCATTGAGGCCCTCTTAACAAACCCACAGCCCCATAATATCTTCGACCTGGACCCCAGAACCCGTGAACCCTTCTGTGCCCAGGGTTCTCCCTTGCAGGGTGTGGGGTTTAGGAGTGTGGGGAGCGACAGATGGCCAAGGTGTTCGGGTGAGAGAGGTGCTCTGGTGTCTCATGGTGCACTTGAACACTCTAGGGTTCGGGGTTGAGGGTTTAGGTTATAGGTCTTTCTGCTCTTAGCCCAGCTGCCGATATAGTAGGGCACAATTTTGGTTTTGTTCCCATGTTGGAGGGACAGTCGCTTTCCACACAAGTCACTGGGCTGTTAAGGTACTTTTCTCTCTCTCTCTCTCTCTCTCTCTCTCTCTCTCTCTCTCTCTCTCTCTCTCTCTCTCTCTCTCTCGCCGCAATGGATGATCTTGCAACAGAACATTCCCTGGGACCTTCCGTGTACATCGGCTGTGCTCTGAGCTAGATTATCACTGAACCGCCCTTTCAATACAGAAGATGTGGAATTCCAATGAGCTTTGCAAAGCGTCAACATGTCCCATGTAACGTGTATGCAAAAAGTTGTGTCTTCTCATTTCCTGCTAGATGCTGTGAGCTGATGAACAGATTTTATGCTGGATACCCACATATGAAGTTCCATCTGTTAATGACACCCGTTAAATACATACTTACATACTTACATGCACACAGACATACAGACATGTGTGTGTACACACCCGCACGCACACACCGTTTTATACATATATACACTCTCTTAAATTAAAGCCCTTAAGCACTAACCTACTACACCCAAAACCCTAGGCCACATGCAAACCCTAAAGCCCCAAAGCCGTAAGCACTAGACTCACTAGACTACAGCCTTCTCAACGAAAAAGGTCCCTCCTGGTTCGTGTGACTTGAGTTCCAAGAGGGTCCATGTACTACCATTATGGAAGTGGGTCCCGCAAAAGAGGGTTTAGGGTTTAGGGGGTTAGGGTAGAGGGTGCATGTATGCTACTTTTATGGAATTGGGTCCGGTCCCCGAAAAACATTATAGGATGGCCTTTAGGGACCTATTTCCGCAAAGGTCCTGTATATGGACCCTCTTGGGTTGCAACTTCTGGCCAGATTCAGATGGTGCTGCGCTTCCCGCGCATCCACGCGTGCGACTTCTCCCCAAGGACATTGGATGCGGGGAAAGCCAAGTAGTAGGATTTTTGATGTCTAAAGGTCTAAATAAAGCCATTCAGAGTGTGCGATCCGGGTTCCTACAAACTTACTATCTGGGTCGGGATAAGTATGCCACAAGGATTATTGCTTTCATGTTAGAGGCCTGGTGCGTCGAAAGGTTGTCTGTTGAATCCCACCGTGGCCGATGTAGAAGCCAAAGCCTGTCACTCTAGAAGCGAGTGCATGCACGGATGACCTTTCTTGCAGAGGAAAGTGGCAGAGTGGCTCGTCACCCGCGGGTAGCAACATGTACAAAAAAGTCAGGGTTCTCTGCGAAGCTTTCATGCAGTTCCTTTTCCGTGCCTAGGTCTTGGACACTGCCTAAACCCTGCATTGACTATTGACCCTGAAACCAAGTCTCTTGGTTGTTGCCTTTCCGGAAGCGGAAAGTTTGAAAAAGGAGCCACATTCGAGCCTCTGGCGCCTTGCATCTAGTGGGCCCAATGACAGCGCGTATCAGACTTAAGAGTTTCAATAGTTTGATCCACCAAGAAGGATACCCTAAGCAACCCTAAGTCATAGACGCTTTTTGGACCCACCCGGCAAGAGCAATCGCCGTTTATTCATGCCTGCGCTTAGCGCGGCAGCTGGCACGGATGCCCTAAGACGGGGCTCTCCGCCGTGGACTGGGTCAGGCATCAAGGGTGGGGCGGTGCCCCACTTCCTGCAAGATGCTGAGTTATACGGAAATTATCGGAGGGACGTGAAGACCACGGCCCTTTTCGGAGTCTTACTCAGACAGATGCCAGAGGAAGCATCGCCGTCTGAGGGGCGATGATCTCGCCGGCGTCAACCTCCATACTCGCTGGCAGGGTACCCTAGAGGGGCTTCCTTGCAGTGAAGTTTTGCCTCAGGTTGGTCAGCGTTAGGAGACCAAGAGACGAGAGGTGAAAACAAAGCTTCAATACTTCTTCTAATTCTATACCTCTCTCTCACACGCACGCACTCTCTGACTCTTTCTCGCTCTCTCGCTCTCTCTCTCTCTCTCTCTCTCTCTCTTTGACTTGCTTTAGTGTAACTTGAATGTAGGGTGAACAATCTGTTTATCTTTTTCGTTTGTTTCGATATGTATGTATGCTTTCTTTGTCTGCGTGCGTTTACTGTTTCATGGTTTGCCCACATATTCATGTTGGTATAATGTGTGTGTACATGATATGTATACATATTCAAACATTCCTAACGTGGATATGTTTGTTACTTTTGTCACCACGATTGGTTCGAGATTTGCCCACATCGCGGACAGAAAAGGCACATTGTCTTTGTAGCCGATGGTTTTGCCTCCGAAGGACTGCAGGTTCCAGGGTGAAGGATTCAAGGCTTTTGCAGGTTAGGGTTTATAGGGTTTAAGAGTAGGGGTGAGGGCTTCAAATGTTGGGTTTATGGTTTAAGATTAGGGGTCGGGGCTCGGAGTTTGAGTTAGAAGTTAGCCTTCGGGCTTGGGGATTGAGTTTAGCCTTCGGGCTTGGAGATTGAGTTTGCGGTTCAGGGTCCTTTCGCCACCAATTGTAGGGACCGCGACCACCTTCTGGAGTCGAAGAGAGGAAGCAGTATCCGACCATAGTCACTGAGCTGTTCGCCTTAATGCCATTCTTCAGGAATTTTGAAGCCCCCCTCGATAACAATTCCGAATCTCTACAAGTGTTTGTTGTTGTTTTTTAGGGTTTATTGTTTATCTCTACTGTCACCTTCGGGAGATCTTGCCCTTACTCCTGCCACGGCTTTTGCTGTTGTTCCTGCTCGCGCCGCGGCTCTTGCTCTTGCTCCTGCTCTTTCTCCAGCTCTTGCTCCTGCTCTTGCTTTGGCTCCTGTTTAATGCAAATGGGGAGTGTTTCTGGTTTATTCATATTTTCTGCGTGTACATATATATATATATATATATATATATATTTATATACATATGTATACACACACGCAGACATTGACACGCACACTAACACGCACACATACACCCATACATACACGCTATATTGTGTATGTATGTGTATATATATATACACATGTATATGTGTGTGTCCCAATGTGTGTATATACTTGCGCCTATGCCATGTATAGGTGTATGTTATATAATACGGTAGGGTTCGTTATACTATCGAAAGGTATTTTTAGGGTGGATGATGATGATGACTTCAAGGCCCAGGACATATGGCTTGGATCATGCTTCCGACACCTTCCGTTTCATATGTGTCCACGGTTTTTCCAGCTTGCAGCAGTCTTGAGTTCTTGTCTTCACAGTTTCAGGTAGTCCAGGGGTTGGGCCTTTCTTAGGTTCAGGGGCCCTAAACTCTAAACCCTACTAGATTTAGGGGTGTCGGTTTCTGTTCACTTCGTTTCGCAAGAGGTGACTGGTCGAGGGGCAGTGGCTCTTAAAACGACATGCATTGGCTCTAAAGGCATTGGACCTTGCAAAAAACCGAAACCCCAAGCCCTCGGATGCATGGATCTTGACCGTTTAACCCTAAGCAGGCGGAGTACCCCCCCCTAAGGTTCCACTTGATCTTGGAGCTTCTATTCGAACCAGAAGTGTAGCGTCTTTCCACCGTTGCAACCGTGCAAAGTCAGAAGTGACATCAAGCCGAACAACCAGAAAGTACACTAACATGATAGATTTTTGAAGTGCAACATGCCCACTTTTTAGGCCCCTACTTTGCTCATCACCGCGATGCTGGTGCCGCCTTGTTCGTCGCTTACCCCACCTTCCGGCTTGGGACCCAAAGAGGTCTTCAGAAGGCGCAATACCGACGAAAAATATGATCCGGATGGTGTAGATGACTAGTAGATGACCTCCGGTTAGGATGGCGAAGACGACGAAGATGACGATGATGATGGCGATGTTTTAAACCTAGACGCGCGTTAACCCCTGGACACATCTGAACGCGCCCTGACTAATCGGGAAATCCTCTGAAAGTCCTTGCCAATCGCTTGAGCATGCTTGGAAATCCGCTTAGAGCCTGGGAAATCCTCCGAAAATGCTCGGAGATCCATTGAAAATCATTGGAAATCTTGTGCAAAATCCTTCAAACCCTGGTACACCATAGCCACTGTGTCCTTGTCGTTGTTGCTGCTGTTGCAGTTGTTGTTCTAGCCTCTGGCCTGAAATCCAGCACTGTGACAGGTCTGAGAAACTTTCGACCGTTGAATCTTGAAACCTTAGGCCCGCGCTGCCACTTGCACACCAAGGCCTATTCAAACCCTGCAATGAGGATCCAAACCCATAAGCTGTCGTTCAACCGTTGCCAGGGTGCAAGCGCCTGGTCAGCCGCGGTTTTCGCAAGCGTTGTGCGCGTCGGCCTTTTTGTGCCTGGCCAACATGCTGTTGTGCAGTTGGACAGTTCAGGGCCTTGCGTCGCTCCAAATAATGAAGTATCGCCATCTGCATGATGTAAAAACACTACACCCTAAACCCTCTAGGGTTGAGGTTTTGCAGGGTGGGGGTTTTGCATTTTACGGTTTGATTTCCTGTGCTTGCGTCTCTTTCTGCCGGCTTCGACTTCGTTGCATTGCTCCGCCATTCCCAGTTCCCAGTAAGGTTTTCTCTTGAGGTTCCGGCAAAGGTGTGAAACGAGATGGTTGATGCACAGTCTTCCTACGGCTTGAGGGTTTACGCCTTTTGTTTTTTAGGTTGTAATTCCAGAAGTCGACTCGCACAATTAGCTTGATCCTGCGACCTGAGGAAACGGATGTTTAACGTAGTCCTGCTGTGACCTGACGGTAAGCGCGCGTGCACTTTTCCTATGCCGTAGTTTACATGTTTTCGTTTGTGTTTAATATGCTTCAAGCTGGCTACTGATGTCATCTTTAGCGGCTTGTGGTGCCCCGAGCAAGCCCTGCCCAAACGCTATGCCCTAGGCCTACATGTCATGTTATCTTCTCTTCTTCCTTTTGACATTCACTCCTTTTCTAACGTTTAGTATGGCAGATCACTCGTTTGGTGTCTCTGTGTGTGTGATGAGGTTGTTCTGTTTGTAGAGTGTTTGTAGCGTGTGTGACTGCGGTTGTCCTGGTGTTTGTAGCATTGGGTGGCTTTCCATAGTGCTGTTCCTGGTATGCACTACTTGATCGTCGAAACCCGCCACCCAAGCCGTGCGAGGCCTCCAGGTTCGAGGGCTTGGGTTTAGGGTTTCAGGGTTTGGGGCTTACAGTTTCGTATCCGGAATTCCACAAACTCAAACCTCAAAGCCTAAAGCTCAGGCCTTGGACATCGCCAAACCAACAACTAAACGGGACTTCTCCAGTGTAGTTCCGCTATTAGCTTTGTTTTGCCTTTAACCTGAAGCTGCTTATCATAATCCATCAGCTTGGTTAGCCACAACAGGGATGCATATTCACGACCATTATCTTTAGTATTATGTGCATTATTTGTACTGTTTCGTATTACTCTTATGCGTTTCTACAGATACTAGTAGTATGGGGGTCTTGGGTTTAGGGTTCTAGGTTTAGGGCTTTTTTGCATCCCGCCTCGAGGTTACTTTCCTCACGGCGTTGCTGTGGCAGGAGTCCTGCTACTCGATTCAACACAGTAGTAGCTGTTTAAATCATAATAATAATAATCATAGTAGTGATAATGAGAATAGTAGTAATAGTGATAATAATAGTAACACAGTAGCAGCTGTTTAGCTGTGCGAAGACCGCCCCGAAACACTTCAAGGTATGCGGGCTTTGAACTCGTGGCGCGTATGTATACATATGTACACGGAGCTATATTCGAAGACTTATGCGACTGTTTAGTCATAAGACGAAAGGTGAGGGTGCGTGAATAACCACCATCCATTTACATGACCCTTAACATGGTTATCGTTTTATTTTACTCTTATCGTGTTACAGGACTTGGGGTCTGTGTGATCTACTTCATGCGCCTTTTGCCACTCTTATCGTTTTACAGGCAATTGGACTGCGTATTCTAAAAATCTCGGTTATCGTTCTTTTTTTTACTCTTATCGTTTTACAAGGAATAGGCAATGTTCTTAACTTAAAGACGCTTTCATCTAAACCCCGATAGCGGTTTTTTTATCATCCCTCAAGTTGTCTTCGTACATGTGCCGCGCAATGCTTGATGAATCATACGTGCATCTCTGTGTGTGTGTATGTTATGGTTCGCGTGCAGGTCATTCCTGCATGTATACAGGCTTGCAGTTGAAGAGAGAAGAGCGAGAGAGCTAGGAAAACAGATCGTCAGCTTGCTCCACACATACCCACCTTTGTAGTGGATGCTGTGAACCAGGCTGTCGATCGCAAGGCGCTCCGCAAGCGCAAGTTGGGACCCGGTGTGATGTCGCCACAGGAGAGCCTCTCATGTCCATGTTGGGGGTGTAGGGTTTAGGGTTTGGGGTTCAGGGTTTAGGGTTCGGCAAACCGCAGTTTATGGGACTTTGCGAACTCCAGTTCTGCTGTTGTAAGCGCCAGATGGCGTACCTTGCCTACTTACTTAAACCTCACTGAAGTAATGACGGCTGACAGCGGTACGCACTCCCTGGCTGAATTTGGGTGTACCCCAATACATATGTACATGTATACTTACACACACACACACACACACGCACACACTTACTTACTCACTCACTCACTGACTCACTCACTTTTCAGACACGTAAGCAACAGAAAGAAGTACCTGACAGATCCTGGCTGCCTATGTATGTTCGGACTGTTGCCGACAGTGTCCAGGCTAGATTCAGTATCAGCTTGCTGCTGGTGGTTCACGCTGAGGCGAGACCTAAACCAAACTAGTCCCTATATAGGTACTAGGACCGAAGTATATAATGGGCCAAAGGATCCGTCGGGAAAGTAATTCTTTGTAAGTCTTTAAGCACAAGGGCCTCTGCAAAGCTTGGAATGGCAAGTTTATTCACGATCGGTATAAAAGAGCCACAGTTCCAAAAACATGTAGGTCGCGAGTTTTGCTCTTTCCAGAATATGGCCAGCAGCCTGAACCCTACTAGCCCTAACCCTCAAGCGCGCATCCCTGCGTCATCAAGGGCTTTTAGCCCTAAACCTCAAGCCCTGAAGCCTATGAACCCGGGCGGAAAGGTCGATCAGAGAGCATCCCCACCAGACTCGTCAAACTTCTCATCAGCAGCTTTTCGAGCCCTCCAGTTGTGACGTAGCTCACATCCCAGGCCTTCAAGCGTTGCGAAGCAATTTCCGTAGTGTAGAAGCCTGAATGAATAGTTACCAAGATCATTCCGGAGGGTTCCTTTTTGTAGCCATACTAGAACATGCCCAGAAACTCTATTCTGGTTCGTGCGACCCCTATCATAGACGGAAGCACTTTGGAGTTAACTTCACCATGGGACACACATTCGTTGTGACCTGGGTCGTTCAGTCGCTGAGTACAGACAGCGGAAGCCTTTGGGAGATGTTTAGCTTATGTTGGCGATTAGGTTTGGATATGTTAGGGGGTCTTTGTCTTGGTGCTTCATGCGAAGCTATTGGCTTGAACTCGTCCTATGAACCATTTAGCATAAGCCCTGAAGTTAAGCCCCTGAACCCTTGTCTGACCTGATGGGCTTGTCCTCACCGCAGCAGTGCGAAAGCGTCATCGCATTAGCAGAGCCTTAAACCCCAAACCCTTAAACCCAAATGATGTCGTCCGTTGCCAGAAGGACCCGTATGGTCCTTCAGTACCCTGGATAGAGCTGCCGCCGCTGCCTGCCAACAAGGTGGAGTTGGGGCTACTGCT